ATCCACTTTGGAATATTCTCGAGAACACAGTACAGAAAAAAAAGACGACCCGAGAAAGGAAGAGAAGGAAGCAGTTGTATCACGAACGGGAGACAACTAACACATTCACTCCCCTTTACCTTTCTTTACCTTTGCCTTTATCCCCCGATCGATCCCTCGCAGCTGCATCGCCCAGCGGTCCAACCATCTTTTGTTTTTATTTACTTTTTATCCCCTTCTCCTTGCTAGCTTGATTTTCCTTGACGCATGTGCCTGTGCCTGCGCTCGTCCTCTTTGCAAATCATTACGCAAGGCTCAGACTCTGGCTCGTCTCGTCCCGGGACTAATAGGAGCTCACAAAAAAGCTCAAGCTAACGGAATATTTTTGCGCAGCTCCCAGCAGCAGACAGAAAGCAACAGCATCAGACGCAGCTCCAGCAGCTAAGCTTGGCGACTGTCGGACACACCTCTCTCACCTCGCTCACACATTCACTGCCTTACCACCTCACACTCCGGGCTGTGTCTGAGACCAACATAAACCCAATCATATCTCGCCTCTCCCGCACTCACCCTCAGCCACACGCTGTCGTCCGTCCTCCCCGTCCTTCCACTCCATTATTATCATTTTTTTATTTTTTTAGACGGAGACAGCTTTGTACCTTGTCCACTTTCTCCGGTACAGCTACACAAACGAGCATTACCTCACTTCGCACCTCCTCCCTCTCGACTTCTTCTCCCTCGTCTTGACGCCGGCGATCCCTCCCAAACCCGCACACGGCCACAGCTCAACCGCCCCCGTTCGACGCTCGACTCTTCCCTCATGCTCTGCCCTACGAAAAGCTGCTCATAGCTCCTGCCTCATCCACGTTCCATCACCAAACCTCGTTCGGTTTTGCAACCTCCCTCTTCGGTCTTCCACTTCAACGAACCAACCCACCGTTGGCGCTTTGCCTTCGAGTTTTTCTTCTTCTTCTTCTCAACAAACCAAACCAGAAGGCTAGACGTCAGCCGAATCGCCCAAGATGACGGTCTTTATTGCATCATTGTGAGTTGTGGCCCCCTGTTACACTACGGACGTGTACCCTTTTGCCCTGCCCCTCCGCCACCCTTCTCGACCGCGCAGCTGCTTCCGGGATGACCCCGCTCTGCGCACAATTTGCCTGCAGCTGCGTTTCCCACCGCCCGATACGCCTTCGAATCTTGGTCGCATTCCCTTGCGAGACAGTAGCCTGACTTTGGCGACTCTAGGTTTCTCCCCAAAACCGTCCACTTCGCTCTGCCCGGCACCCCTCAGCGAGGAGACCCTTTGCGCCGCACCAGAACCGACAAGCCCAAGCGGCCCGAACCCGCCGACCGCCAGCCGAGTCTCTTTAACCCGATCCGCGACATTACGCCCCCAATCACCCCGACCGAAGAAGCTGTCGCCGAGGACCCCTTTACGAATGAGGATGGCTTCCGCATATTCCCCGAGGAGGAGCGCAAGCTTGGAGCGCCCGTCGACAAAGGTTCTCCCAAGTGGGGTGCTCGAGCAACCCAGCCCAAGTCGCGCGCGAGCTCGCCCCCGCCTGCCTTCATCGCCGAGCACAGTCGCACTCTCGAGAAGGCCAGGGAACTGGGTCGCCAGGGCGTCACCCAGCCTCGGCCGCTCGTTAGAAGCGACAGCCACGATCGTGTCTTTGCCCACGCCAACTGGCGCATCATGAACGCCGACCAGGGCAACGGCGGACTGCGCAACGCCGCCGAGGCCGCTGCTCGCGACGGCAAGCTTGGAGAGTACACCTGGGTCGGTACCCTCGGTATGCCCACCGATGCCCTCGAGGGCTCCCAGCAAAAGCAGGACATCGAGGACCGGCTCGCCACCGAGCACGACATGCTCACCGTCTTCACCTCGGACAAGGACTTTGATGGCCACTACTCACACTTCTGCAAGCAGATCCTATGGCCCGTTTTCCACTACCAGATCCCTGACAACCCCAAGAGCAAGGCCTTTGAGGACCACTCGTGGAAGTACTACGTCAACGTCAACCAGGCCTTCGCCGACAAGATTGTCAAGAATTGGAAGCGTGGCGACGTCATCTGGGTCCACGACTACCACCTGCTGCTCGTCCCCGGCATGGTCCGCAAGAAGCTGCCTGAAGCCAAGATCGGCTTCTTCCTGCACGTTGCTTTCCCCTCGTCCGAGGTTTTCAGATGTTTGGCTGTGCGCAAGCAGCTCCTCGAGGGAATGCTGGGTGCCAACCTGATTGGCTTCCAGATCCATGAGTACACCCGTCACTTCCTCCAGACCTGCAGCAGACTGCTCAATGTTGAGGCGACCACCGACGGCCTCCAGTTGGAGGACCGCTTTGTCGACGTCGTCAACCTGCCCATCGGCATCGACCCTGTCAACCTTAGCGAGCACCGGGGCGACAGTGACGTCAAGAAGTGGGTTGAGATCATGAAGGAGCGCTACCAGGGCAAGAAGCTCATTGTCGCTCGTGACAAGCTCGACCACGTCCGCGGAGTCCGCCAGAAACTGCTGTCTTACGAGCTGTTCCTCAACAAGAACCCCGAATGGCGGGACAAGATTGTCCTCATCCAGGTGGCGCTTTCTAGTAGCGAGAAGTCTGACCTGGACGCGACTGTTAGCGACATCGTCACCCGAGTCAACTCCTCCTGGGCGAACCTGGCCTACCAGCCTGTTGTCTACCTCAAGCAGGATATTGACTACCCCCAGTACCTTGCTCTGCTGACCATGGCTGATGCGCTGATGATCACCAGTCAGCGTGAGGGCATGAACTTGACTTCGCACGAATACCTCTTCTGCCAGGACGGCGAGGTCTTCTCCGAGAAGAAGCACGGTTCCCTGATTCTGTCCGAGTTTACCGGCACATCGTCGCTTTTCGGCGGCAACGAGCTTGCAGTCAACCCCTGGGACTACCGGCAATGCGCCGACGCCATCAAGAAGGCGCTCGAGATGGGAGACGAGGAGAAGGAGCGTCGATGGAGCGCCCTGTACTCGGCTGTCATGCACCACACCGGCTCGCACTGGTTCAGTGAGTTCTTGTCCCGCCTGGATCGCGTGTACGACGAGCAGCACAAGCACGACCAGACCTCTGTCCCGCGCCTCAACATCAATACCCTGGCTTCAAGATACCAGCGCAGCAACCGACGGCTGTTCATTCTTGACTACGAGGGCACCTTGGTCAGCTGGGGTCCGATGAACCAGATCATTCCCGTCAGCCCTCAGGTAAGAACCCCAAGAATTCTAATACGTAGGATGGCGCTAACTGTAACAGCGCACCTTGGACGTGCTCAATGAACTGTTGCTGGACGAGCGCAATACCGTCTACATCATGTCCGGCCGCCGCCCCGAAGAGCTTGATCGACTATTCCGCCGCGTCCCGAACCTCGGCCTCATTGCCGAGAATGGCTGCTTCCTCAAGGACTGCGGCAAGAACACATGGCAAGAGATGGCCGACAGAGAACAGATCTCTAGCTGGAAGGAGTCGGTCAAGTCGATCATGACCTACTACCTCGAGCGTACTCCTGGTGCCGAGATCGAGGAGCGCCGCTGCAGCCTTATCTTCCACTACAAGAGCGCCGAAGACTACGAGTCCGCGGCCCGCCAGGCCTCGGACTGCGCCAGCCACGTCAACGATGCTTGCGAGGAGCAGCGTGTCCACGCCATCCCGCTCGACGGCTCCATCGTTGTCGAGCCCATCGACTGGACCAAGAGCACCGCAGCCGAGAAGATCTTTGATGACCTTCGCATCCACATGGAGCCCGATACGGAACACCAGAACCCTGTTGATTTCCTCATGGTTGTGGGAGACGGACGTGAGGACGAGAAGGTGTTCAAGTGGGCCAACGCTCTTGGCAACGAGAAGGTGGTTAAGGATGTGGTGACTGTCAGCTTGCACAGCCGCAACACCGAGGCCGGCTTTACCATGACGCAGGGTGTGAGCGGTAAGTCAGCTCCTCGTCCCGAGGTATGTCGTGATGCTAATGACGGCACAGGTGTCTTGTTGGCTCTTCAGAAACTGGCCGCCACCGAATAAGCTTAATTCTCGAGACAACCGAACAGCGCTATGCTGTGCCGGAGAGTTGTCAGCATTTGACGCCACGCATTTGATTGATGTTGACCTGGCCATAACACCAGGCAAATGATACCACAGTGGGTTAGCAAGGGTGGAAAGACGGAGTGCGATGGCGTATAAAACAGGAAGCCAGGGTTTCGTTTCGTTGGGTCTTTTTTTTTATCGTCTTTGTCTTGTCGGCGAAGGATCATGAACGCGCGGGTATCTTTTTTAAGGAAACGATGACGACTTTGCATTGGCATGCATCATGCATTGAGGGGCGACCCTCGTTTAAAGGAATATCTCCTAGTGTTTTTTCTTTTCTTTATCATGTCCATTTGGTCCCTTTTGCACCTGTTTTTGGCGCAACTTTCTCAGTACTCTGCAACACCTCACGAGTCTCAAACGCTTTAGTTTTGTTCGCTTGCTGCCGGCTGCGGAACTCAACGTGAAGGCTTGTGATGATGCTGACACCTGAAAGGCTGAATATTGCCATTACACAAACCACCCCCCCCCCCCCCCCCCCCCCCCCCACTTCCATGTACCAACAACCAAGTTTTGGATTGCATTTTGTTTTTATTTTGCCGTATGTAAGAGGGCCGAGCCGGATGCCGAAAGGCTCCTGTGTATTTGTACGTGAGTAGGAAGAGATGGAGACGAGGTCGGGAGTAGATGACGCGTAGCTTAGAGCCAAGAGGCATCATTCCATTGGCACCGACGGCATGTGAAATGCCTGTGTCTGAAACCGACGGGTCCCGTCCTTCCATGAGGCGTTGGTGACTTTTGTTGTGACAGGGCCATGTTGAGGCGAACCCTCCTCGCGGGGTTCTCGTCCATGGCCTTGGCCTTTCCACCCGCAGGATGACGGTGTCAAACTGCTTCATCTCGCTGACTTCACGGATCTAAGGCAAGTCCCGGCTATGACTTCTGCTTTCCTTTTCTGTAAACGGCGTGGCAACGACGTCAGTTATCCAGGTTCAACCAGTCGTCAATCGCCCTGCCATAGTCGTTGGCCTCGATGAACCTGTTGGCCTGGTCCCCAAACGGCCCCACGCCCTCGAAGAAGATGTCCTCGAACGACGGCCCCATGTCCCCGAGGCCGTGTCCAGCAGGCGGCGTGGTCGCCGGAACAGCCACGGGAGCAATGTCCTCGTCCGGGGCGTAGACCGCCGCCTTGTTCGGCACCGCCTTGTGGGCCGAGAGGCCCGCCGAGCCCACGAGGTCAAAGTCCGCGGCGTCGGCCCCCGTGGAGAGGTCTCTTGCGTCGGATCGCAGGGTCGGCCCGAACACGGACTGGTCCCAGCCGGCGTCGGGCCGCCCTGCGCGGTCGTAGATGAGGAGGTTCCAGAGGAGCTGGGTGTCGATGGAGAACGAGCGGTTCTGGGAGGCGGAGTCGCCCCGATCCGATGGTGGTGCTTTTATGACGACGCTGTCCTGGAGCTTTCTTAGGTTGTTTGCCTGGACGAGAACACCCGTTAGTCTCGCCGAAGCAGCAGTCGAACGTGAGATGGGCGTCGGGCGCATACCATGTTGGCGACACACGGCCAAATGTCCCCCGTCTTTTTCAAAAAGGTCATGCACTTGTCGAACCCCGTTTTCGCCTTGCTGCGGAGGACGGGGTCATGCACGAAGCTATGCTGCAGGTGGATCGTCGCGACGACGACGACGCAGTGCGCCACGACGGGGTCTGACACCGTGAGCGACTTCTTGTCCAGCACGTCGAGGAAGAAAATCACCCACCCGGCCGTCCGGTTCATGCTCTCAAACGACTGCTGGATAAAGTGCACGGGCATCGTGTGCCGGAGGTGCCGCAGCCGCATCGACAGCAGGAACGGGTGGTTCAGCAGGCACGGGATCGTCTCGTGGACGAACTGGATGAAGAGGAACGGCATCCAGTACCGCCGCTGCGCCTGCAGGGCCTCGGGCGTCTGCCTGTCGATCCGGTTGGTTGCGAAGCGGAACTTTTGTGGCGCGCGGCAGTCGATGTCGTGGTGCGACTGGAGGACCTGGGAGTAGTCGGAGCGCGAGTCCCAGGGCGGCGGTGCGTCGGGGGAGACGGGGGACGCGGCGTAGGCTCGCGCCAGGCGCCAGACGACGCAGAAGTCTGCGGCGACTGCTGAGATGTTCTTCTCCGGGGGGTCGTCCGGGGAGGGTTCCATGAGGTGGCAGTAGGAGATTGGGCCGAGGGAGGCTTGGCTGGTGGATGAACCTGGGAGGACGGAGGGAGTTGGGTTCGAGGCTGGGATGAGGCAGCCTTGGAGGTGTTGGAGGACGAAGATGCTCCGTAGACAGTAGTTCCTCTCCTTGGCGTTGGATGGGTTGGCGGACGGCGGGATGCTGTGCGCGAGATGGCCGGCGATGGCCAGGTTCAGCCCGGACTGCGTGGTGTTGCCAGCTATCGTGCGGCAACGTGTTAGTGACAAGCAAGCCACCTTTTTCTTCAACAAGCTTCCTACTTACACGCGAAATCAAACATGTTCAGCAGACACAACGACTGCAGAGTCGACAGCTCGACTCGCCCTTCCGTCACCCGGCCCATGACCATTCGGCGTGAGGTCCGCGCCTTGTCGCCCAGCTGCTGTTTACCTGAGTCTGTGAGGGACCCTGGCGGAAACCTCAGGACTAGCGCCTGTAATGCAAGGATCAACTCGGGGTCCCGCGATGGGAGCGACTGGAGGAACGTGTCCTCGTCAAAGAGCGTGATGGGTTGGCCATGGAACCAAAGCAAATACCGACGGCCCAATTCCATCAACTGGGCTTCTTCTGGATCCGAGGGGCTGCAGAAGCTTGGCGTTAGCCAATCTCTCGCATATGTGTATGCTGGGACCTCGGAGCTGCCTGTTCACCTAGGGTTCTCAAGAACAGCATATTCATCGCTGACTGGGTCAGGCTTCATAGGTGCCGTCCTTTTTGGCGACATTACGTGGCGAGTTACCGATGATGGCTGAGGGGAACGCGGTTCGGGGCTAGTAGAAAGTCAGCGAGACTATTGGGACCCCCGCGGTGGACTGTGGCAAACATCAAATGCTGGATCAGACGGTCCATCTTGTCTTCAAGGCTACTTAACCGGCTTTCCTGCTGGGTGTAAATAACAGTCAGCTTGGACTGCATGTCATACCGGCAATCAGCAGGTCACGTACGGTGTCGCTGTTGCGTGGCGTCTGCTGCGAGTCGGACGTCTCGCCTGGTGTATTGTAAACGCAATTTTGACCGAGACGCTCGCAAAAGGAGCATATTGGTCTCTCCCCCGGACATCTCGACTTTTTGCGGCTGTCATTATGCTTTGTAAGACCGTTGGTTCTTCGAATGCAGTCAGAAGCCGGGGGCTGGGCAGTCCTTACCGACATGGCTCGCACGCCTGACGAGCTCTCTTGGCATACCGGGCATCATCCATGGTCAGGACGCAGGTATCTCGTTGAGTCTCATGGATCTATTTGCTGGGATGCAGTAATATCCAGGTACATTTAGAAGGAAGATCCACCGGCGTTCCTGATGTGTTAGTCTGCCCTGTGAAATTGGAGTCGTACTGCCTTTTGGTTGCAATCGCAAAGAATTTCCCCCGAACCCTCGAAAAAGCTGGCTTTTGCGGATATGCCAAGCCCCAGATTTTCTTATATCAGCAGCAAATACTGGCCCGACTACCACACCGTATCGGCTGTATTGGTGCTGCGAGAATGGAACATTGAGAGTCTAGATGAAAGTCCCCGCAGTGCACAGGGAAGATAAACGAGCGACCCGGATGACGCATCCTGGCCGCGGGGAGGACCCACACATAGGGAGGCCAGTGCTGCGTCGCCATCAATCCCTAGTAGGCGGTTTCTAGATTTCTCTTCATTGTGGCTGTCCAAGAAACAAAAATAGTGCTTGTGAGGAATTTGAATGTTGAGTACAGTGCAAGAACTTCTACAAGCTGGAAAACAGGTCGTTCAATTCTCTTTCGCTCTCCGTTCAAGTCTCGGGTTCCAGGCCCACACCGGCACAGTCGTACCAGCGGCCGGGCCGCGCCGTTACGAATTGAGCCCGCCGAGTCGTCCATGTGTGGTACCGGGATGAATTTAATCACGCTGCCGGCTTCCACGGTTGTACGATTGCGGGACAAATTTCTCATTGCATGGTTCCAGGGGGTTGTGGAATTCCGCTGGCCTAGTAGACGTGTCGTTTCGTTCCATAGATGAAAAGTGGCCTCGTCCACATCAAAGCGACTATTCCAGGAAACCTTCAACGTGCCACTATGTGTCTACGTCTTCCGTGTTCATCAGATATATATGTACTCTATTGAGACTCGACGACGTGGGAATCTTCATGCATAAAATACTATGTACCTGACCAATTACACATGAAATCATGCCCCTGGACCCCTTTTCCCAAAGTGCCCGTCGCATCTGCAAGCTCCGGGAGACGGAGGCGGACAGGGGTGCCCCGCCGCCTCAGTAAGCAATGGGCCAATGACACGAGGTTGAAGGAGGCAGTCGGACGACGGGGTCGGTCACCCCGCAGTCCCGAGATCGGCGCTTCTCCAAAAGTTTGGCAGCAAGCGGGAATGACTCCTCAAGCAAGGTTGGAAAAAGAGGAAAAACTCGGTGTGGGCACAACGTGGGCTATTACGTGACAGCGAGCTCCATTGTCGTCCGAGTCATCCAAGTGGAACATCTTCCCAACGTAGGCCTGCTCACGTCAATTGACGTTAAAGTCCCAAACTACACCTTCAACTTTATACCCCGCCACGGCACGACCACCCCGCGAAACCTTCAAACACACACACACCCACCCACTCTTCGACCGGACGAACCCGCACACGATAGTCACAATGGCAGCCTTCCCGCCCCCTCCGGTCAACACCATTGACTGGTCCAATGTCGGCTTCAAGGTCCGCGAAGGTGAGCTACAGAGATGCCCATGGTGGCTCGGGCAACAGAAGCCTCTCAAGACTGCATGCTAACAAGACCTCCCTTTCCAGTCAACGGCCACATCGAGTCCACCTACTCCGTCTCGACCGGCAAATGGACACCCCTTAAGTTCGTCGCCGACCCCTTCATGCGCATCCACGGTATGGCCCCGGCCCTCAACTACGGCCAGCAGGCCTACGAGGGCCTCAAGGCCTTCCGCGCGCCCGGCGACAAGGCCATCAACATCTTCCGCCCGGACAAGAACGCGCTGCGCCTGCAGCACTCGGCCGACGTCGTCTCCATGCCCCGCGTCCCCGAGGACCTCTTCCTCGCCGCCTGCAAGGCCGCCGTCTCCCTCAACGCCGGCTACGTCCCGCCCCACGAGACCGGCGCCGCCATTTACATCCGCCCCCAGCTGTACGGATCCTCCGCCCAGCTCGGCCTGAACCCGCCCGAGGAGTACATCTTCGCCGTCTTTGTGATCCCCACAGGCGTCTACCACGGCACGCACCCCGTCAAGGCTCTGATCCTGGACGACTTTGACCGCTCGGCGCCCAACGGCACCGGCCACGCCAAGGTGGGCGGCAACTACGCGCCCGTGCTGCGCTTCAGCGACCGCGCGCGGAACGAGGGCTACGGCATCACCCTGCACCTGGACAGCGTCAAGCACGAGGAGATTGACGAGTTCAGCACGAGCGGATTCATCGGTGTCAAGAAGGAGGGCGAGGACATCACGCTTGTGGTGCCGGACTCCAAGTGCGTCATTGACAGCGTGACGAGCGACAGCATCCAGCAGATTGCGCGCAGCTTCGGCTGGAAGGTGGAGAAGCGAGTGGTAAGTCTACTAGAGAAGAAGAAGCGGCCCTCACAAACCTTGTGCGCATCGCTGACTGGTTGCCACGTAGATCAAGTACAGCGAGCTCCCTACCTTTTCCGAGGTCATGGCGGCCGGCACGGCGGCGGCGCTGGTGCCCATCCGGTCCATCACGCGACGCGTCGACGCCTCGTCCCCGCAGTCCCTCGCCGCGGCCGGCGCCCAGGAACGCGTCAGCAGCGCCAAGGCCGGCGAGGAGACGGTGACGTACATCCCCGAGAGCCAGGAGGACGCGGGCGACATCTGCCTGAAGCTGCTCTCGACGCTCAAGGGCATCCAGCTCGGCAAGCTCCAGGACGAGTTCAAGTGGAACTTTGCCGTCAGCGAGGCGGACGGCAAGGCCGTCGTCGGGGAGCAGAAGACGAACGGGTCGGCGCAGACGGTTGACCAGATGGACTGAGCGTTTGTGTCGTCCGAGGCTGCAGACTTTTGCAGTCCGCACCCTGTCCCATCACAGAGGGGCCGCCTGTCGGCCGGATTCGCCGAGAAGGGCTTGGTCCCGTTGTACGACGTCCTGGATGGGTTGAATAAAATAAAATAGTAAAAATGGGAATGTGAAAAAAAGTTATTATCTGGGACCTATATCCACCTGGCGGGGGTCGCGCGACATTGCACGGCGTTCGAGCAGTGTCTGAGCAGTGTCTGCATGTTGCAGAGGCTCTGAACTGCCTCGAAGACTTATGGCGCAGTGATCCAACGATCCGACCAAGTGGTAATATGAATGGTTTGGTTCAGCCTTCGAGAAGTTGCAAGTCCGGGTCCAAGTGGGCAGGTATCAAAGAGACGAGATTTCACAGGCATTGGGCCAAGTCAGTACATACAACAACAATCCTCGAAGAATTCCAGCTGTCTGGTACGCACAAAATATGGGCTCATCGACAAGCGCGGCTAGCTAGCACTGACGCATTGGTTCGTCGGGTCCCCTTGAACATGAGCACAATTGTTGTTGTCCGACTTGAATGGGATCGCGAAATGGGCTGCCGCATCCAGTGTGGCTATGCAAAATGAACGTCTCCCATAAAAAAGCTTGGCACGAGAAAGTGAGCAATGTCTTGGCGGCCCAATGGGACCATTTGCGCAGAAAAATCACGCATACCAGAGTCTGAGGCAGAAAAAAAAAGAAGCTTTTTGAAGGAAAAAGTGGTGAGAGAAAGTCGCGTTTTCTTAGGGCGGATAGCCAGGCGCAGAATAATTGTTAAGGAAATAGATGCGGCGACCTTGGCGGCCGCTAGCAGAAGCTTAGCAGCTCTAAACAAACCAAACACGGCGGAAAGTGGGACTGTCGCCCGTCCTTTCTCCACAGTCCACAGTCGAGCTCCGGGGATGGCAGGGGTAGCTACGGGGATGTGCGTGTCACCTGCATGACGCCCTGTCCTCTTTGTCTCCTTCGTCTTGTCTCCAACTCTATTGACTCGATGGCCGGCTCACACTGGACTGGACTTGCCATTCTAGGCTGCCTGCGTTGGGTTGCCTCCCAGCTTCCATCCTCTCTCTCTCCCTCTCTCTCTCTCTCTCTCTCTCTCTCTCTCTCTCTCTCTCTCTCTCTCTCTCTCTCGCCCGTCTTCCCTCTCGTCTCTTCCCTTCGACCAACCTCCATCTTTCTGCCCACTGAACCTAGTCATGCTGTGCACAGCCCAGGCCATCTCCGGCAACGAACGGCAGACGGCCAGTGACACACAATGAGGCATTATGTTGCTCCTTCAAGTGGAGAGAGACCGGGCAAACATCCTCTTCGTAAATCTCCGCATCGATCACCATCACATCTCCAACGCCCGCAACTTGACTCCCTTGACACAACGTAGGCGAGAGTAGCCAAGAGCAGAGGACATCCTGCCATTGGTTGGTGACACCACCTGCCTACGACAGCAGTAGTCTGCACGTGGAACCGTGCCGGGTTAGAGCAGAGGACAGCGTGGACTGGGAAGTGGGAGTACACAATCCGAGAGAAGACGGCACCAAGGAATCCAAGTGGGAGACAGCAAGCCAAAATGTCCCGTCAGTGCTAGTTATTGCGACAAGTTTTCTGTCACTATTTTAAACCTTGCCAACGGGATCGGCGTCTCGACAAGCTCGCCTTCTTCATACTACCTACCCAGCAAACTCACGCTCCGTTTTCTCGTTGCCTCCCACCATCTTCATACTGGAGGAGCCGCTTTACCCTTACTTTACTCGAGTTACCCCTGCCATCGCCGGCAGCAAACATCCATCATCGCCAGCATGTCGGCACGCAGCGGGCGCTCATTGCTCACTGCATCCTTCCCCCCGCCTCGGCGTAACTCCCATTCGGCACACACGCACACACATCAAACCCGAAGAAATGCGAACCGCTCCATAGACTCAGTAGCCGCTCGCCTTCAGGCTGAGCCAATGTAGAGCTTGTGACAGACAAGTTTCTGTCACCAGAGTCAGAGTCTATGATAAACTCCCATGACCCCAGTCGTCCAGATTACCATGCATGACATGTGCAAAAGCTGCACCACCACATGGCGTTCTAGTACCATAGACCCGACGTGAAGAGAGAGGGGCTGGGTTCCGGGCATGACCGTTCCCTTGTCCCAGAAGGCGCCGCCTTCCGGCACTAAAACCAGAGAGACTGAGACCGTCTGGCCCCAAGGATGCGCGAAATGCCCTTTGCGCTAATTCGTCAAGCCTGTCCTGACCGCCTGGCCCCAGGACCCGAAGATGGGCAAGATGAACCCAGATCCCCATTGGACCCCCACCCTCTGTCGCTCTACTTTTCGGTCGTTCTCTTGAGACAGGTCGATCGTGAGATTAGGGTAGGGCCACCCGACCGACGGTCCCATTCCAAATGTTTGGAACATAAAGAATTGGTCCATCCTCTTAGCCTCTGTAGTGCAATCCGAAGCTTCTCATTCCTCTGACCGTGCTGATTTCCTTCCCTTTGGTTCTTTGTCTGCTCACAGCAACAAAATATCGCCATTTTGCCACGTCGATATTCCCACACGCTGTGCTCTACACTGGCGCATCACCCAAACAGCCGCCTCAGCTTCTGTAACCCCCGCCTGGTATGGACGATTCAACGCCTGCCGCGCCCCCACTGCTCCCAAAATCACAATCGAGGAAAAGCTCGAGAGACACAAGTCGGGATCGACCGTTGACGAGTGGGCACAATGGCAGCGCCCTGATGTCGGCTCCAGTTCCGGTGTTGGTGTCGCCGGCGGTATTTACTCGAGCCGTGACCTGAACCGCGTCGCTTCGAACCGCCTTTCGCGCGCCATCACTCGAGAGTCCGCTGCAGAGGCTGATGAGAATGGTGGCGACTGGCGCCGCGACGATGGGAGAAAAAAACAGGTCTTTACTGGAACAACCCTGATTTGGTACGTTACGTAGCTCCCTTTGACGTTTGCCTCGCTGACATCCCTTAGGCTCGCATATCAGTCGATTGGTGTTATCTATGGCGACATTGGAACCAGGTGAGCTCCGGATTTTCGTTCGAGCCGCCTTGTACGCCTGGCGCTGATGAACACACAGTCCCCTCTACGTCTTCTCGTCAACCTTCGTAGACCTCCCCACGAAGAACGATCTCACCCAAGTCCTGTCCCTCATCATCTGGTCCCTCACCCTCATGGTCACGGTGAAGTATGTTTTCATCGTCTTGCATGCGGACAACGAGGGTGAGGGTGGCACTTTCTCTTGTTACTCTCTCTTGACTCGGTTTGTAAGTTGCCAATCTCCAACGCTCTACAACATGCTGAACTGACAAACGGCAAGGCAAGGATTACCAACTTCGATCCCCGCGAGGAGGCTACCGTCCGCATGGAACGCCACAACACCCAAGACGTGCGCCCGGTGACCCGCGGCATCCGCACCGTCATCGAAAAGAGCAGAGTAACAAGAGGCCTCCTCAAAACCATTGGAGTCCTGGCAGTATCCATGGTCATCGCCGACGGTATCCTGACCCCGCGCAGTCCGTTCTGGGCGCCATCCAGGGTCTCTCGGTTGTCAAGCCTGACATCAACAACTCCACGATTGTGGGCACGACGTGCGGCATCCTCGTCCTGCTCTTCCTCATTCAGCCCCTGGGAACGACCAAGCTCGCTAGCACGTTTGCGCCCATCGTCATTGTTTGGCTGGGCTTCAATGGTGGTTTCGGCATCTACAACCTTGTCAAGTATGACTACACCGTCCTCAAGGCGTTTAGTCCCTATTACGCGATCCACTTCTTCGTGGAGAAGAAGACGGAGGGATGGAAGATGCTCGGCGGCGTGTTGCTCTGCTTCACTGGAGTCGAAGCGTTGTTTGCGGATTTGGGCGCCTTCAGCATGCGCGCTGTGCAGATGAGCTGGCTGCTGTGGACGTATCCGTGCCTCATACTCGCCTACAGCGGACAGGCTGCACACCTCGCCATCATGCCGGAGAAGTACACCAACCCCTTCTTCAATACCGTTCCCCCGGGAATGCTGTACCCAAGTTTGATTCTGGCTATTTTGGCTGCCATCGTTGCCTCGCAAGCCATTATCACAGCAACGTTCCAGGTCAGTTACGAACTACCCATCCCAGTCTAATGCCAGCCCCCACCTAACAAATTCGCAGCTTTCGAGTCAAATCATGAAGCTTTCTTACTGCCCACAGATGAAAGTCGTCCACACTTCGGAGACCTTCCACGGCCAAGTCTATGTTCCCCTCCTCAACTGGCTTCTTATGCTCGGCACGATTCTCGTCACTGTCGTTTACAACAACACAACCAGCCTCGGTCACGCCTACGGCGTTTGCGTCATCTTCGTCACATTCTTCGACACCCTCATGGTTACATTGGTTGCGATCCTCGTCTGGCGCCTACCGGTCTGGCTCATCGCCCTTCCGGCCTTCGCCTTCGCCACGCTCGACGGCCTATACCTCTCCTCGGCTCTGAATAAGGTCCCTGACGGCGCCTGGTTCACGCTAATGATATCAGCCCTCATGGCGGGCATGTTCCTTCTCTGGCGCTTCGGCAAGGAGAACCAATGGCGTGCTGAGGCTGAGGACCGTTTCCAGCCCAGCTCCCTCGTCACCAAAAACAAGGAGGGCGTGCTGGCGCTCACCCAACGCTGGGGCGGCGACATCCTCTCTTCTGTCAGCGGGTTTGGCATCTTTTTCGACAAGACGGGTGTCCAGACACCCAGCGTCTTCACACACTTCGCATCCAAGCTGGGTGCCCTCCCGGACGTGTCGGTGTTCTTCCATCTGCACCCCGTCGAAGTACCCACCGTCCCAGCCGCCGAGCGGTACCACATCTCGCGTTTTGCGAACATCCCTGGGTGTTACCGCCTCGTCGTGCGTCATGGCTTCATGGACGAGGTGGTCAGCCCAGACCTAGGCGCGTTGGTGTACGAGCAGGTGCGCAAGTTCGTGGTCAGACAGGCTACTGCGAAGGCGGCAGCCGAGAGCGAACAGGAAACCTCTACTACCTTGAACGACGCAGATGGGCCGCCCGAGTTGAGAGATGAGAGGCTGGCGGCGGAGTTGGCCAAGTTGGATCGGGCGTATGCGCACAAGGTTCTGTACATTGTCGGTAAAGGGCAGATGCATATCCGCACGGGTACGAGTATTGTGAGGAGGTTTACTTTGGGCACGTTTTTGTGGATTCGGGATAACACCCGGGCCAAGATAGCGAATCTCAGGTTGGCTATGGAGAGGGTTGTTGAAGTCGGGTTTGTCAAAGAGATTTAGAGCGTTGCTGTGGGTTGGAAGCTAGCTTTGTGTGATGGACATCGAGACATGTTCTAACAATCAACCTCTTTCTGCCCAACCATGGACTCTATCGATGGCCTAGCTTTCTAAATGGCTGTTTCGCTTGAACATCTCCCCATTACTACAATGCTGGGGACTTCTGCGCCTGTAGCTTCGGGCTGACGCCTGGGAGATGGATATACAAGACATCCAAACAAGCCTCTGGAACCATCGACAATGTAAGGCTGCAGGTATGCTACCCACTGGCTTAGTCAAGAACAGCTGCCATCTTGATCTAACTAGACCTAGCTTTCCGAAAGTGCTGGCTGGCACAGCCGCACACACTGATTGTCCGGTTGTCTTCCTTTGTCCCTTTCCTTGCGGCTGTCCCTTCAGACAAAGTCGAGGGTGGGATAATGCTCCCGTGACAGTTGCGTCGCGAGTGTCTTTGCAAGAGGTGTTAATTACACGAAATTAAGCCAAGATTGCTCAAAGTCAACGTCGCGAGTGAAACCTTAAGTCAACAACGCCCGAATGTCCCGTCATGTCTTCTCGTTGGCCACCTTCAGGGGTCTGACAATGACCCCGGATACATTTCGGCTGTACATCACTGGATTCTTCTTGAGGAGGGGACCCCAAACGAAATTGTTCAACCACCATGTTATCGAAGAGTTGGAGTAGGTGTCACGATGGCAGGTGTTTGGACAGAAAGGAAGACCCTGAGAATAGTGTATTACTAGCTTTGATGTAGACAAAGTATGTCTCGCTTGGGGAAAGAAGTCGGTTGTCCTACTTGATTGTAGCTTTGATTACATTAACGTCTAAATCAATATGCCGAGTTGACTACCCTACTCTTCAGGTATTTGAATTTGTATACTGTCCTGTCCTGGCCCAAATATTTATGCCGACCTTGACTCCCCTTAGTAATGGTAAACCGGCGTGAAGAGTGTTCTCGTCGACTGAACCATTCCCCCTCAGGTTCTTCCAAAAGACAGCGTTACCGGCTTTCGGCTGAAAAGTAAGCCTCTCAGCGTCGCAATCAACATAACTACACCACTCCTTGTCTTCTGCCCCCCAGTCGATGCGGATCCGGGAAAACTCGGTACCGCATTGTTCTCCACAGCTATCGTCCAGTATAGCAAAAATGGTAGTCACCCGCTCTGTATCTTCATGTTCCAGACTCTTGGTGCCGGTATGGTCAGCTTTTGTCGACAAGAGGTCGTAATGAGGCTCATATTCGCCGCCGGATGTGTACATGGTAGCTTGAAGGTTTTCGAAGTTGGACGTGGGAAGGAATCCTTGAAATCTGGCTGCACGAGATATAACGGATTGTACCACAGAATCATTGCGAGGTAGGATTGCGGTTGAGCTTCTGCGCTCATCTGATACTGTGTTCACTCCATTGTCGTTGACAACCTGAGAGCGATGATATTTCAATTTGCTGCCAACGGACTGTTGTTAGAATCACGCTGTGTTTGGCACAAAATGTCTTCGACCATGCTCTTTACTTACGCGAGCTGCCGCAGGTGATTGGTTTCGCCCTTGCTGAGAAAGTTCTCCAGGTAAATGATCAGAGGATCATAGGAGACAATGATAGTTTGAGTTCGCGGCTGCCAATGACTCAATGTAACACCAGAACACGCAACCCAGATCACAGTTGCAAGAGTAGCGACGACGCCGGCGGTCGCCCAATTGACACTGCGCCCAAAGCGGAGTGGGCCCGTCCGGGTGGCCTTTTTGTTATATTGTGTAGATGTCATTGCGCTCTCGACAGTTCCAGGGAATGGTGACATCCTTGGGGGCTAGCGTGACTACCAGAATATATACAAAGGCCCTGCTATTCATGCAAAACTTCTGTATATAAGCAGAGCACAGATTTGAGTTTCATGCTGGATAGTATCACATCCTGCAACTCGCAACATTATGCATCATTGAGTTCATACGACATGTCTTGTATACTCGGATCCTGATACAGAATAACACCCCATTGAGCGCTTGTGGACGTCATTGTTGCCAAGGGGGTAGACTAGTCAGATCCATCGACTAGCACTTTCAACCCAATAGGGAACATAGGAAACAAGTATTGTGGAGTAAGATGGGTACTCAAGAGGAAACTCTCTGACTTGGAACAAAAAGGCTCACTAGTTCCCAGTGGGAGAACTCAGAAATGGGTATACTAGAATCAAATTGACTCTGGGGAGGGGTTAACGGAAAGTCAAATAGTCTCCAGCCAACCGCTACCAAAGTTAAAAGTGCCATTTATCACCTACAATCATGTGTGATAGGCCTACTCCGGCAATTCCGACAGTAACGGCATGCTGTCAGATGCCGAGCCCGTAGCCGCTCTTCTATTTTTCTAAAAACATTATTGAAGTTTGGCTTGTCACAAATATAGCATTCGATACCCGAGCGGAGTCTAACGACCAGACAGCTCCAGTTCCCAACCCTAATATCGCTCTAGGATTCGTCATCACTATAGCACGGTACTAACGTTCCAGCAAGGCGATCCCATCGATGTTGGCAAGGGCAACTATTGCATGAGTCAAGCAAAAGATTTCGAGGGCCAAGAAATATAAAATCCTACAAACGCCCCAGCAGTCCTCAGTCAAGCATCCACTCCGACCGCCTATCCTGCTACCCAAACAACTTATCCTGCTACCCAAACAGGTTCTTTGAGTTTACTTTACTTCCATCTTCTGCAGAGGACTCTTGAAAATGCGATTCCACGTTCTTCTAACGGCCGCTTTCGCGACTCTTGTTCTTGCCGTGCCGGCTCAAGAGGTTTGACGCACCCTTCAACTTCACCATGAGACCAGTCAGTTAAAGCTTTCACAGCCACATATGAACCTGGAGGTGCGAAAGCCAAGACAAGGCCCATCTGACCCATGTGGAGTTAGTACAACCGGGCTATAAACCTTGTGTGTCGTGATGTCTTACTGACTTATGTAGCCTGGTGGTGATCCGCACTGTTAAAGCACCCTCCAGAGGAACAACTTGTTCAAGCTGCGCACGAGGGAGAAATTGACAGATGGATTTCTTCCAGTTGCGGATATTCGTGATATGTACAACTTGATACAGGAAAATGAGTGTTGTAGCTCTATAACGCAAAGCATCAGATAGAGTGTTATCACACCCCAACCCGGCAAATGCTATGATCAGTCTGCCTTACATACTTCTCAGGGAAGCTATCTCTGCAGGGGGGTTACTTTGAATGCTTGTGCTGGGTGAGAATTCAAGTCCTGGTATACCAACCCTTGATTGAACCGCATTTGATACCCTTGTCATGTTTTGTATGACTCTTTCTTCTGTTTCTTTCGTCCTTTTTCACTTTTGATCCTCCAAGGAATGGGATAAACAGCCTGAGATCAGCCCAGGAAGCCTTTGGGGCCTAGGTCGTTCTCGACGGAAAGCAACCAGGAGCTAGATATTTGCCCAAACTGACATGTATTCTCGCTGGTCACTCTCAGATGGATTAAAATAACCCCGAATATGAAGTTTGGCTACGTATATCTATTCAATCCTCGCAGGGTAGGCTTATGAGAATGTTGGTTGGTCGGCAAGATGTTGAAGAGTCGGAGCAGAAATAACGATGTCAGACATCTGAACAGAAACAATGCACCGGAATAAAGGGACAGCTATTTCTGATAGGAGGGCCAATCGTTCGTCAGAGCAATAAAGTTGTTTCACTGGTTAGCTGTTGTTACGATTGTCCTGATTGAAAAGTGTGCTTATGAACTTTCGTCATTGGAACCGACTGGTCAAATGCGGTGCTGCTAGCCGCTAAATGCTCCTATCAGAACATTGAAGAAAAAGCTGATGACTCTTTCACAGAGTCCGTATGCAAACATGAGAAGCGTGGCTTTACATTCGTGCTCTCAGAGCGGGCCAAATGTAGAGAGAGCACTGCGGATATGTCGCTAGAATGAGCTTGAATCCGAGATGAAGTAAAGCATTCCATTTTTGAACTGAGTTACGGATTATGTAACGTCAATCTACCACTGATAACAGGGTTCTCTATTGTTGGGGGTGAACTTGCTGTGCTGTGATTGTCTGCCATGTCTCAAAGCTTTGTGATTGGGGACAATGATGTTCTAATACGGGATACAGCAACAACACCGCAGCGTCGTGTGAGGCGGTTGTTTTGGCATGATCCATAATGTGACCTGGTAATATCGTACTTGGGCTCCTTTGAGTGACGGCGCTTTGCAAGAGATTATTCATTAGCTAGGTCGTCATAATAATCTACCAGCCCTGAAGAGGGCTCTCGTCCAACCATTTTCACCATATTTTGAAAGTTTACTCTTCTGTGGCATTGAAACGAGAATCTTTGTTCTCGACCTCGACGGATATCTCTTGTTCATCGAGCCGAATCAAAGCTTCCTTGATCTTGGAGACTGCCATATTTAGTTCACAGACAATTCATTACACCAATTAGTGACAAGAATAACGTTATCTAGCACTATCTCTGATTTCAGCGCGTGTGCGCTTCTTGCAGAACCGAGCACAGGCATCAACGGCTGCGTCCATATCGTAACCCGAATCATGGGTGTAGCTCATCAGAGCATGGCGACAATTTTGGCCAGAAACCGATCAAGAGGTGTCATCTACAACAACTATTGTTGGATGAAGAGCGCGGGGGTCGAGAGTCGGCGCCTGTTCCTCCAGACACGAAGATCTGCATCGCGGCAGATGAACTTGGCGAAGAAACTGACGTCACAGTATCTCGTAGCGCTCGGGGATCTTCGGTAAGATCGGGATTGCCGTGATGCTGCATCTTTCGAGGAACCCATCGTCAAGGATGCTGTGCATGCCTGACTTAACAATGACCAATAGTTTGACTACCGCTCTCAAGATATCGAGGCTGGCGAGGCTGATGTCTGTGACGCGCACATTCCGGACTGTTACGTCTCGGTGCTTTCGCATTTGCGGGATCAAGCATTGGTTTCGACATCGGCGATGAGGAAAACATCAAGTTAAGACGATTCCTCAAGAGCCGCCCTGTCATGAAGGACAGAATTGTACAGCTGCCGCGAGCCGGCTTCAACGAGGCGGGATACTCTGGTATGTTGCGTATAGGCAGATAGCCTCATTTCGGGCCAGAGCTTTGGCCATTCTCGTTTTGCCAGTCCCAGCAACGCCGAGCAAAATGACGATAGAGCCTGCAGTGGCTCAAGCAATGAGCTGATGGACAAGATAAGAGCTACTACTGGGAGAAGTCAGTCATCGTGTGAGGTCCAGAGTAGACGATGAGGCCTACCGTAGTTGCCATCCCATCGCCAGACTTGAGGTTCAACGGCATGGTCGACGACCAAGCTGAGTTGGGGTCAGAATCAGCATCTAGGAGGAGTTGTGCCGTTAGTAATGCATAATTATACGTTGAAAGGGGCAGGCATTCTCACAGTTCCCATAGGCCGTCGAGCGTGGAGTTGGGCAGCATGGTCACAATCTCATCGTCGGACAGAGATGGGGACTCCGGAGTGCAGCCGTACAAGTTGACTTTGATAGCAACGTCGCGGATGGAGACGACGCGGGTGGCCGGATCAAGGCCCTGGAACTCGACCACGCGGAGGGAGTGGAACATGTCGCTGGGGACGCCTTTGTGGACTAGGAAACAGTGAACATGCTGCATCGACATGAGAATAGGGCAAGACTGACAAACTGGCTCTTTCAAGAGGTCTGCTTCGAGGGAGATGACGGTGTCGTCCTTGAGCTTGGGTGGACTCCATTCTTGTTCGAGCCTGGAGAGAAGCTACTGAAAATTAGAAAAAATGAGGCCGATTGGGATGGCATTTAGAGACTGACCAGTTGGCAGCCCCTGTCGGTGTGGGAGGGCTATTTGAAATGTGAGCGGGGGATTGACAAGTCGGGGAAGATGCTCGTGGACCGGAGCTTCGCGGGGGCCAAACGTACAATTCTGCCGTCCTTGAAGCGGGCCTCGACGTAGGCAATACCCTTTTTGGGCTTCGAAATGATGATGTAGTCGTCTGTACGACCAAAGGTCACTGCTGTGTCGGCCATTTTGCTCGTGTCTAGCATGTCTCTGTCGCTCAATGGCTGTCGATTGTCGTCGTCGTCGTCGTCGTCGTCGGCGAGCAGTCAGTCAGTCTGTGGAGGTGAGGGGCATGGAGGGGTTTGACGATGGAGCAGCGGATTGGAAATTGCCGAATTTTCGTGGTTCAATTGGCAAAGTTGGGGGCGGGAACCGGGGAGAATTTTCTGTTTCCCGGTCGTCGTGGGCACTTCCCGGCTGCTGTGCTTGATTGAGCGATTGATTGATCGATTGTGTGGGCCGACGAAAGCCGTAGCGCATGCTAGAAAAGAAGTGCGACCTAGAACTGGCGAAGGCAAGGATGCGTGTACTTTGTACTACCGATGGAGTCCAGAGCGCCGGTAAGGGCGGGGAGAATGAAGGGAGGCAGGGAGCGGATTGGGGGGGGGGAGGAAGGGAAGACACGGACGGGAAGGGAAGGCGCTAGACGAGTGAGAATGTGGAATGTGGCAGGGGAGGAAGACATTAACAGTACCTAGTCGAGGCAGGAGGATGTGGCCGGGCATATTCAGGAATGGCCCTTCAACCGGACGCAGCTGCTCTTTTGAATTCCACATCGACGAAGACGAGAGCTGCGGAGGCACTGGAGGCAGGGACGGACACGCTCTACTTCGGCACCGGAGTGACGCCAGGAAAGCCAATCTAGACCCGTCAGTACGTAACAAAGACAGTGGCCACTGGGCAGCGATCCTTCCCCCGCAACACCACCGGGACTTTAGCAAAGTTCATCGACGCAAGGTTGGCCAGAACGACTTGGCCCGAAGCCTCCCTCTCACTCCCTATCTCTCTGGTGCCGGCAAGCATGAGACGACGGACGGCGCGCTCGCCGTCTTCGGTCTGAGAGTCCCGCGCGTTTCTCGTTACTCGTCCCTAGCCGGGCCGCACCTTGGCACCAGGCACTAGAAAGAGGGCAAGCACGTTGTTTCGGCTCGGTCTCAACAGCTGGCACGACGTTTTAGTCCGCTTGCTGCCTGCGCTCTGCTTTGCTTCGGCGGACGAGCACGATCCTGCCTGCCACGATCGATTGTTCCCGAGCGAGACTCGAACAGCGTTATTCTCTGCAAATTTTAGATCTGACGATGCATGTGAAAGACGTTCGTCGTCTTTTCTTTTGCCTCTGCTCGGGGGCGTCACGTTTGTCTAGGCTCAACCGCAAACGGGGACAGTCAGAGGCGTTCAGCAACGCCAATTAGATGCAGCCACAGAGGGCGATTACTTTTGACCTTTGTCTCTCACCCCCTAAATCCCTTGGAGCCACTTCGTGATCTAACGCGCCTGCTCCCGCCGCCTTTCCCAGAGTGACTGATATGTGGTCGACTGTGGAACACCCGATTCCAAAAATTCCTTGTCATTGCGCAAGTCTTCGGCGGGCACCGACTGATTCAGGCCACACAGGCCTCGAAACCTCTGAGTTTATGAGGCGGAATCTCCCATCCGTCTCAACTTCGCCGTCCGAGTTACCACTGTTGCTTGTGAATGGCCTCCAAGGGGATGGGATTTCCGATCTTGCCGATCCTCTCTAGCCATCAACGGTTCCTGTCCGAGGCTGTGCTGTCTCACGGTGGAGCTTTTCGGTATGCTTCCTTGGCCTGCATCTCAGCTGCACGCCCGGCCGCCGAAACCAGTGAGCCAGAGCGCCGGGTGGCTGTGTTAGCCATGTTGCTGCAAGGCCATTTCACGTGCGACGAGTCCGAGACTTGATCGAGCCCGGGACTGACTAAGGACCCTCCTTCAATAACCGTTGCCGGATGGTGACCTCATTTGATGCCGTTCGGTCGCACTCCGAACTCCAAGTTGTCTGCTCGTGACAGCGATACGGGGATTCCGTGACGGCCCGAGCCAACACCGCCGGGAAGTGGGTCGCTACCGGCAGTTAGCGGCTGGAATGGTACCGGGATTCGTGTATCATTGGGGTGGTATCCGACTACTGCGGAACCAGACTGTCTTCATCAAGAATATTCATTGCTTCCTACGTTAATATTATATGTCAGCCTCAAGGGTGGAAGGGCGACAACAGACTGGGACCGTGACTGATCACCGAGTGCCATATTTAATCCATGTTACCTTGAGTGGAAGGCAAGTTAGCGCAAGACAACAAGTAATCTTTCGAAAAAGATGCCATATCACTATATCACTGAGATTAAATCCGGAAGAAAACCAATACTGTTCCTTAGATCAAAACCCTCTGCCGTTCCAGTGGTTTTCAAGCAACACTGTGGCGTTGCGTGGCTGAACCGGTCTAGCCACAATCCCCATTTGTGGCGGTGCAATCTCCAAGCTAAGCAATCCACCAAGCAGGAGTCACCCGACGCATCATCACGTCACAGGTTCAGATGAAAGTGGGGACCTTCCCTTCCATGTGCCTAGAGCTCTCTTCCAGCTTCTGTCTCAACCGAGTCCAAGTCTTGTCCCGTCGCATCTTCAGATCGAACCCGACGACGTGCGACTCAACAGTAGCTTTACACACGTCGAATCCCGGCCCGAAGACGATGCTGCACGCGACATGGACGCGTTAATATTCGAACCCAACCCAGATGTCTGCAAAGGCGAAAATGCCATCAAACCGACCACCAGCCGTGACGTCTGGGTCCAGCTCGGCCTGTCCCTGCTCATCGGCATCTCAGCCTTCATCGCCTTCTGCATACTGCGCCCACGATGGCCGACCCTGTACGCCGCGCGCAAGCGCCGACTTGATCCCAGCATTGGCTTGCCTGCCCTACCGAACACCTTCTTTGGATGGATACCGGCGCTGTGCCGCGTAACCGAGGAACAGGTCCTCGCCTCTGCTGGTCTCGATGCCTTTGTCGTAAGTCGCAAGCTTCCCTGTGGACTGGGCGAGCTGTTCTGACTGGAATAGTTTCTTTCCTTCTTCAAGATGGCGATCCGGATTCTTGCAATCTTGGCCTTTTTCGCTTACGCCGTTTTGCTACCCATCAACCTCAAATTCGGTGGCAAAAAGCGCAAAAACAAAACAGAGGATGGCGACAAGAGTTTTGATAGCGAAAACGGTTATCTATGGGCATATCTGGTGTTTCTTTACTTCTTCTCGGTTGTCACCCTCTACATTATGAACAAGGCGACTTTTAGAGTTATCCATGTCCGACAAGAGTACCTGGGAACCCAGTCTACCATTACAGACAGAACTTTCCGTTTGACGGGCATTCCTCAAAACCTGCGCTCCGAGGACAAAATCAAGCGGCTTATCGAAAAGCTCGAGATTGGGCAGGTGGAGAATGTCAGCTTATGTCGGAACTGGAAGGAGCTCGATTCCTTGGTCGCGCAACGGGAGCAGGTCCTGGCCAAGCTGGAAGAGACTTGGAGCGTCTACCTTGGAAAGCAGGCTGCTCTCCCCAAATCCGTGCAACGCTTGCGTGATCCGCTGGCCGAGCCGTCGGTCCTGGAGCCTAGAGAGGCTGAAGTCGACGAGGAGGCTGGGGAGAACGGCCGCTTGTTAGATCACAACCACATCCACCCTGAGTTTGTTGAGAGATCGCGGCCTAGGGTAAGGCTCTGGTACGGGTTTTTGAAGCTCCGAAACCGCAAGACGGACGCTATTGATTACTACGAGGAGAAGCTACGTCGACTTGATGAGAAGATTCGCGAGGCTAGAGATAAGGACTTTGCACCGACCGATCTGGCTTTCGTAACGATGGACTCGATTGCCGCATGTCAAATGGCGATCCAGGCCCGCATCGACCCTCGACCCGGACAACTTCTGACCAAGCCCGCGCCGTCGCCGTCGGATGTGATGTGGGCCAATACATACGCGCCCCGCGGGGTACGTCGTCTCCGGTCTTGGTCGGTTACTATTTTCGTCGCCGTCTTGACGATTGTTTGGTTGGCCGTTGTCGCTTCCATTGCTACTCTTCTGAGCATCTGTAACTTCAGGACATGGTTCCCGTCAGTGGTTGCATTCCTGGACGAGTGGCCAACATTGCGCGCCTTGATTGAGACAGGTTTGCCGACCCTTCTCGTCTCGTTGCTCAACGTTGCTGTGCCGTACCTGTACGAGTTTCTCTCATACGAGCAAGGCATGATTTCCAAGGGCGACGTGGAGCTCTCGATTGTGTCCAAAAACTTCTTCTTCACCTTTTTCAACATTTTCATCGTCTTGGCTACTTCGAACACGGCCTTCACCGTCCGCAATTTGCTCAAGCAGATCCAAGACGTCTGGAAAAGCCCAGCGACATTGACAAATACCATTGCCGGGCAGCTCCGGGATTTGGCCGTTTTCTACACCAACTTCATCATGCTTCAAGGTATCGGTCTGTTTCCCTTCAGGCTTCTCCAAGTTGGTAGCATCGTTCTCTACCCAATCTATCGTATGGGGGCCAAGACGCCTAGGGACTTTGCCGAGATCATGAAGCCGACTGTCTTCAGCTACGGCTTCTATCTCCCCACAGCCATGCTCATTTTTATTCTGTGTCTCGTATACAGCACTCTGGAGTATGGCTCGTGGATCTTGACGGTTGGACTCGTCTACTTCATTCTCGGCTACTTTACGTACAAGTACCAGCTCTTATATGCCATGGACCAGCCGCAACACGCGACTGGTGGTGCGTGGCGGATCATCAGCTACCGCGTCATACTCGGTCTGTTCGTTACACAGGTTGTAATGTCCAGTATCATGGCTTTGGAGTTGGGCTTCGTGCAGTCGGTCACCGTTCTTCCGCTCATCGCCTTCACTGTCTGGTACAGCGTCTACTTCAAGCGCCGTTTCGATCCCCTGACACGATACATTTCGCTGCGGAGCATCCGGGCTGTTAACGATCCAGATGACGCCGCGGTGCTGGATGAAGATTTCGAGGGACCTAGGCCGTCGCAGGGTTTGTTAAGACGAGGTAGCACGATTGACGAGGACAAAGAAAAGGGCATGACGTTCGTGAACCCCAGCCTGACTTCTCGGTATGTTGCCCTTCTGTTTGCGAATCAGAAAGTATCCTTGCTAAACGTTCGCAGTCTTGAAGAGCCATGGGTTTACCAGGACCCCCCTTCGTACCAAGAGGACGGGGAAAATGGAGAGGGGAGCGGTCCCGATACGGAGACGCCCAACGCGCCCGCAAACACGGCGTCGGCTGCATCCGATAGTTCGATGAGCCTCGGCGACACGCACATTTGGCGGCAACAGGCGGACAGCAACAACCGACAGAGCGTTTAAACGCCCAAGCTGGTTGGGCATGGTGCTGGCTGTAAATATCACCCTCAAGTGCATACGGGAACATGACATGATCAGGCGGTGGGGTTTGGTAGCGGGGATAGCAGCACTATACTATACCACTATGGAGTTTCGGACGGTTGATCGATGATCAATCACAATAATAGGAATCGATCCAAAAGCGCTTGTTTTTTCGGGATTTGATACTCTCGGCATCAGCTGCAACTCCTGCAGCGTCGCTCTCATCGGATGTGACAAGATGGGCTTAACTGGGTTCCCCCTGACAATCTAGCACATTTTCGCCTGACAGCTCTTCCTGAAAGGCCCCCGGTACGTAGAAGCCCCCTCGAGTCGGTGGGGCGCCCAGAGCTCGAGGGGAAATGCATGGCGGGGTAGCTCTTGGACCAGGCCATTCTGCATCCCAAGTCAAGCTTGAAAAGCGCGGCAGGCCCAGCTGGGCTCGTCCACGTCATTCAGCAGGAAGAGGGTTCAGAAACAAGTCGCCGGATTTGGCATCTACCAGTTGCTGCCGCAAACATTCGTGGGTACCTATTGGCGTCGGTATCGCAGAGGGAAAGAACCATGCGGCGATAGGCAGCCAAGGAGGGGGAAGCCGAACATTGGCTTAGCCTCTTGCTCTTTTCCCACTTGGCTCTCCTCTTCTTCCCGTCAAAAGCCCCTCGGCTCCCTCTGTCCCACGTCCCGCCATTCTCTGTGGGCTGACATCCTTCATTCTCAACCACCCAGCACGACAGCGTTTGGTCCCGCATCTCTGCCTCGATCGCCTCGATACCGCCCCCAAGCGCCCACCATGAAGCTCGCCGTCTTTAGTACCAAAGCCTACGACAGGAAGTATATTTCCGCCGCACACGAGGCAAAGAAGGAAGAGTTCAAAAAGCACAACGCAAAGCTCACCGATGACAACACTGACTTCGGCATCATCTATCACGACTTCTCCCTGTCGTCCGAGACCGTCTCCCTTGTCAAGGACGTCGACGCCGTCTGCGTCTTCGTGAATGACTCTCTTACCGCTGATGTTGTCGAGAAGCTGCACAAGGCTGGCTGCAAGGCCATCCTGCTGCGCTGCGCGGGTTTCAACAATGTCGACCTTAAGACAGCCGAGAAGTTTGGCATCTTCGTCGCCAACGTCCCCTCGTACTCGCCCGAGGCTGTCGCAGAGTTCGCTGTCGCCCTGCTGCAATCCCTCAACCGACGCACTCACCGAGCCTACAACCGGACCCGCGAAGGCAACTTCAACCTCGATGGTCTACTAGGCAAGACTGTACATGGGAAGACGGTGGGCATCATCGGTACGGGAAGGATTGGTGTGTCTATGGCACGCATCATGAAGGGTTTCGGCTGCACTATCTACGCCTTTGACCCCTTCGAGTCGGACGCCTTCAAGGAGTTTGGCGAGTACCTGCCTCTGGAGGAGCTTCTGCCCAAATGCGACTTTATCAGCTTGCACTGCCCTCTGATGGACAAGACGAAGCACATCATCAACGACAAGACGCTCAAGCAGATGAAGCCCGGCTCCATACTGATCAACACGTCCCGAGGCGGCCTGGTTGACACAAAGGCCGTCATCCACGCCCTAAAGACTAAGCATCTCGGCGGCCTGGCCCTTGACGTATACGAAGGCGAGGGTGATCTCTTCTACAATGATCATTCGGGCCACATCATCGACGATGACCTGCTTACCCGGCTCATGACCTTCCCCAACGTTCTCATCTGCGGCCACCAAGGGTTCTTCACCGAGGAAGCGCTGCAGGAGATCTCCGAGTGCACTTTCCGCAACCTTGAGGACTTCATGCTTGGGCGCAAGTGCTCGAACTCTTTGGTCAGAGAAGAGTTCACCAAGACGCGAAGAGATTCACTCCCAGTGCGCATTGTTTGAGGGGTTTGAGCCCGCATGGCGGGCCATCGGTGGAAATGAACGGCACACCTGCGGGTTGATGGATACCCCACTATTCCTTAGAACCATCACTAGTACTTTGTAGGTAGTTACGCATCACGACTCACGAATAGATGATTCCTTGCATCCCCACTCGGTTCGTCATCAAACTTGCGTCATGTGTGATCTCGGAAGATAGCCACGTGACCGCTATTGCAATCGCCAAGGTGTGTATCAAGACGCAATCATTGTTTAGGAAAACGATTAGATGATGATTTGAACTTGGTTTAGAATTATCAACGGCACCAGCCGTTCTACATCTATACTCGTCTATGATCTAACGCGTCCAGCCCACGAATTCTACCATCTAACGCCAATCGATTAGGCCGAAGGAACCAAATGTGACCGAATTCCAGACCTAAATGCTTGGATGCGATTTATGATTGCTGAAGAGCAGCTTTATAAAGGGTGTTTTGTTGTGTGAGGTAGCACATCAGCCGCTTACGCAGGCTCAAAGGTACGGGTGGGATCCTGAGCGTTCTTCTCCGGCTTGGCCTTCTCGATGTCGGATCCGGACGCGGTCTCGTCATCAGCGGAGTAGGCGTACTTGCTTCTCGCACGGATCCTGGCTCCGTAGACCCAGAAGAGGAACGGGATAGCGCAGCACGCGAGGCCGAGGAAGCCGAGGAGGGACGAGGCCCACTGATCGCCGAGGCGGTCGTACATTTGCTCAGTAAAGAGGACGACGCCCGCTCCCCAGAAGGAACGGATGCAAGTCTTGGCCGCGAGTGCGGAGGCGGCCTGGTGCTGGTACGAGTCGACGAGGTAGTTATTGGCCGAGTTGTACAGAAAGATGAAGCCGAAGCCGACGGGGAAACCGCCGAGGGCGGGACCGGCCCAGTGCAGGCGAGGGTACGAGGTCCAGGCGAAGATGAAGAGGCCGATGGGGATGAACCAGCAGCTCAGCATCATGGGAATCAGGCGGGTCTCGGCGGGTGGGTGGCCGTTGTGCTTCGCGACCATCTTGAGGTAGTGCTTGTTCACCCATGGGGAGCAGGCGGCTGAGCAGAGGACGCCGACGGCGAGAGGGATGAACATGAGACCGGTCGAGGATGCCGAGTAGCCCTTGCGCTTCTGGTAGATGATGGGGAAGGCGACGAAGAACATGTACAGCAGGCCGTAGAGGACGGACATGTAGATGGAGATGAGGAAGACGATGAGCTCGCGGAAGAGGAGCTGGAAGGGGCGGATGAGGAAGATTCCGAGGCGCTCACTCAGGGGCCGCATGTCAATGTCCTGCTCGGTGACGTGGGACGCGTCGCCCGTGTCCTTGCGCATCTTCTTGGCGCGGCGGGCGAGGATCGTGGGCGCGTAGGTCTCGGGAACGGTGAAGGAGATGAGGACCCAGACGATAAAGGCGAGGATCAGCTGGATCCACATTAGCATACTTCTTTTAAGTTTTTGTAATACTTCTCTGTAGCAAGACGTACTTGGATCCAGTACAACCAGCGCCAGCCGGCCGCGTCGGAGAGAAAGCCACCCACGAGGGGACCGATGGCGGGACCGATGAAGGGGGCGGCGGAGAAGGCCGCCATGGGGACGCCGCGCTCCTCGTTGCGCCAGAGGTCGGCGAGGGTTCCGCCGACGAGGGTCATGGGCGCGGAGAAGGCGATGCCGTCGATGGCGCGGCAGACGAGGAGGGTCCCGAGGTTCTTGGCGACGGCGCAGGGGATGATGAAGATGACGGCCAGCAGCAAGGTCGAGGCGTAGATGATCTGGCGGCCGTAGATCTCCGACAGGGGCGCAAAGGCCATGGGCCCGACGCCGAAGCCGATGACAAAGACGGAGATGGAGACGAGAGCGGCCTCCTCGGAGACGTGGAACTCCTCGGCGACGCCGGCGACGTCGGCGGTGATGACGGAAGAGCAGAAGGCAACGACGAAGCACGTCATGGCGACGACCATTGTGCAGTACCACTTGTAGGCTTTGGACCAGTTTTTGGGGTTTTCGGGGTCGTTGGGGACGAAGGTAACAAGCTTGTAGTTGCCGGCTGGGGCGTCCGGGCCGGTGGCCGATGTGGCCGTCGCGGGGATCTCACCATCGCGGGCTTCGACGCGGTATTCGTCGAGGTTGGCATTTGGAGAGAGGGTGCGGTAGGGGAGGTTGACGTCGAGCTCCGGGTCCAGGCGCTCCTTGGTCGCCACGGGGTGGAGGACGCTCGTGACGGAGGAGCGTCGGTTATGTGATGACGAATGGGTGTTTGCGGTGGTTGTGACGGGGGCGTACTGACGTCCTGCCGCTGCGTCGTCCGAGTCGGAGGAGGAGCCCGGTGGTAGTGTGTAGGAGGAGGTTCGTGATGGTTGATCCATCTTGGGCGGTGTGTTTGTGGGCTTCTTGGGATGTGAATTACAGGTGTGATGCGAATTTCTAGTGGCACGGATCCCCTTAGCGGTCAAGGATTGCGAAGGAGTAGATCACAGAGAGCGAGGGGCTAGGGGATGACCCGGGACTGGTGAACATGAGATCAAGGGACAGGACTCTCTAGACATTACGATCTGGGAGGGTGGGCGCCTCCCCGACTTTATACTTGTCCCGTCTTGGACGAAGGAACATGAGTCAATTTTCGAGCCTCTTGGTAAATACACAAGCAGGGCCTGGGATCCGGTCGCAATTCGGGCTATGGGTGGGAAATCGGCGCGGCATTCGGGGTACCCACCATCGCGGACGACCCGCTTTTCCCGTCCGAATTGGACCAATCTGCACCCTGTGATTCGTGACAGCGATTTGTACAGGGTACCTCCGTACCGGGCAGCAAAGATTTTGTGGTCTAGACGCTGCGTTCTCTCGTGATACAGAGCCCTGGCGACATGGTCCGTGAGTAGTTCATGTGGAATCGATACGTACTGCACAATGTCCAGGTTCCTCTCTCTCTCTCTCTCTCTCTCTCTACCCCCTTCTGCCTGATGACATTTCGAGTCCCCACAGAATGTTGATGACGAGGTCCACGACACTGGAGGCGACCGTTGCATGCAGAGCCTGTTTCGAGGACGTGAGGCCTGCGATCTCCTAGGCGACTGAGTAATGGCCGGCCAGAAGAATGAGACGTGGCGGAAGGGGGAGGGGGTTCGAGGAAACGAGTACCGTTTACCTGTCATGTCACCGCTGCTTGGGCAGGGCACGTGGAACGGGGAGGATGAGGGCTAAGAAGTCGGGAGGTGAGAGATTGCAGAAAATGTCGGGGCGCGTTTGACACGAACGCCGACTTTTTTCTCCCTGATTCTGTGGCTTCTCTGCCTGTAGGTTGCGTTTGCACGGGGGGCATGTTTGACGCGAGTGCGACCTGGCGTTCTGGTCTGCGGCGGACTGAAGCTATCCCTGGGTTGGACTAGAACGAATCTGAAAAGCTTCAATCTTTGTGACCCAAGACCCGGACAAGGGTTGGAAGGTCGGCGGCCCGCAGCCCAATCGCGTCGTTTCCCGGGGCAGCTTTCACCGTTACCATTGTACATACATACAAAGGCGAGCGCACATGCGCCTAGACGAGGAGGCGTGTCCCGTGTTGCGTCGAATGGCTCGAGGCGTCAGTTCCTTTTTCGTTTTCGCGAGGTTTGCGGCTCTGTCCGGGTAGGTGATGGAGGTTTAGGTACCCTTGGGTTGCCAGGGGAGGAGAGGCGACAAAGCGTAAGGGTGCGGCCGGGTGCAAAAGTACGGGTCTGGGAATAAGAGGAAATGACTTTTGGGCGGCACTAGTCTCTTGGGAGGCCCGTCCTGCTGGGGGGACCCCAGGCGTGTCTATACTGGACCCTCAGGGCTGAACAACAGGGGGAGAAATCTCGGAATGATTTCGGGGTGTCGTCATTTTCTGCTTCGTCGACAAGTTTTCCTGTTTGCTACTATGAGAAGATCCAAAACGACTTGACATTCCCCAAATTTGTTGAGAAAGGGCGCATCATGGGTCGCATGAACTGGCCTGCCTCCGTATCGCATCACGCCTGGCCCTCGCCTCTCCATACTCGTCCAAACTCTGAAAGTCTGTTTCCTTTTCGATGTCTGGGGTTGGAGTGGGCGGAAGGGATGCCGCTGTCTGCGTCGGCTGCGTGTTTAGCAAAGCTCTCTCTTGAGCCGAGGAAGCTCCCCTTTCGTCCGGGACGCACGGGCCCGCAAAAGCCGGCGGAGACGGGTGGGTTCGTAGCGGGGCTCCGGCCGGAGGGGTCCCGCGCACCGGTCGAAGAGATTTCGTTGCCATGGAACTTTCTGTCGCACACGGGCATCGTCCTCAACCTTTTTTCTCGTGGGTTTCTTTCGGTTTCCTTCCCTTTCAATCCCCGAGAGATACGCCAGATACGCGAGATACGCTGGGCTTGCTCCTCTTCGCCGCAGTTCCATGCTAGAGCGTTGCAAGAGCAATCAATTCAAGCGCTGGCAGACGTGGACGCAGCTACCGCTCGCCGCATTTTCGTCGCGGAAAGACCTAACAGGTGGGGTTGGAGCAGCAAGAAAGAAAAGAAAATAGGGTTTCAAGGATGGACGCAAATTCTTTTGATTACGCTTGCAAAAAGCGCTTATTCCCGACGGACCAAGTGGGGGGCTTGTCACCACATGCACGATGCACGCTTACTGCAGCGCCGTGTTATCAGCGAGCTCTCGGTGTTTGGGCGTATCACCATTCATCGTCCTAGGTATCCGAGCCTCGTGCGTGTGTGTGCTCGGAGGTCCACTTGGTATCGCGTCCACAGGACACGCAGAGTTTAATAAGAGGGGATTAAGACGGTAAGGGAAACACCTTCTGGCCGTCTTGGAGACCGGATCCGCTGGCGTGCGTCCGGGTATTGCTACAGTAGCAGAGGCATTACAGGTGGATCGGAGGCTATTGCGGCTGTCAAGGGGAGCGATGACAGAGTATCTTACGACTAATCAGGGGGGTTCGACGTCCCTGCGAGATGAGCCGAGATAATGGGCGTGGGAGTCTAACAGGTGGGTGTGACAAGTAGAGGGATTGGAAGCGCGCATGGGTGCTGTTGGATGCAGTGGGAGGCTTTTAGCGCTTTGGGGGGGAGGTTACGTGGGCTTTGGTTGATTCTGGTTGATGCCTAAAAGGAGACCATGTGTCGCGGGTATTGGCTTCCCGGCCGAAGAGTCGATAGCAGCTCGTCAAGACTGGGCCACGGGGTACGAACGGTTTTGGGCATGTGTGGCTGACTATCACTGCAGGCAGACCAAGAGGAAAGTGGGTGGACCGGAAGCTTTCAAAAGTCGGAGCTCGCGACTTGGGTCTCCGCTTCCCGGGCTGCTTCGTGGTCGGCGTGCCCAGCCCCGATTTAAGAGCGTGTCAAGGAGGTTCAAGAAACGTACATGTCGGCCAAGATCGTCCGGGGGGTTGACGGGTTTGGATCTTGGCATTTTTGCTCTCGGATCGTGACCGGGACACTCGGATTTTGAGGAGCTGTCGGCGCAACTGATGATTAGTGTTGCCAGACGCCAGTAACGTCTAGGCTGATGCGCGGTTCACAACTAACATACAGTCACGGCCAGGTATCCATCCCCTCGACCTCGATTCCCAGATTTCGATCCCCAGACTCCCCGACACCCGGCGCGACGTAAATACTCGAGGAAGGATAGGCTTGCTGCTGCTATACGTCTCACGAATGTGAGACAGCTGCGTCACGGAGGACCCCAAGTTCTTGCGCAGCGAGGTCATTGTAGCTTGCATGGTTGCGGGACGGGTCGTTGGTCCGGTGTTGCCAGGCTTGGCCCTATGCGAGAAGCGACTCGGAGCGTATGCGCGGGGATTCCGGAAGGTGGCCGTGGTGGGTCCCTCACTTTGTCGCGATTTTACTGCCGCAACGGGGCCGGAGCATGCGATGTTGGGTGATGGCCGTTGTTCATGCAGAAATCGAAGCGAGAAAGGTTCCAGTACGCGGCATTGGGAACGGCCTACCTACCTACCGGCTGACGCTTTGGTCAATGCTAACAAGATGATGAGCGACTCGGACATAGCATAAGTAACGGCTGAGGATAGAAAGTGCCACATAGTTTAGTCTGTTAGGGTAGTGGGCAGGGAAAAACGAGCAGGCATACAAATGGCTGGCTGTCGCTTCCAGAACATGGTATAAATGGGTCGTCCTCTACGGCAAGAAGCTGCAAGCAACTGAGAGCGAAAAATGTCAAAAAGTAAAAGCGTTTTGTCGACAAGATCAACAAGAAAAAGAATTGATCAGTGGGAGGCTTGAACTCCCGGCCTTGGCATTACACAACATTTCTGGTGAAATATTAGTACCACGCTCTAACCAACTGAGCTAACCGACCTGTTTGGTTAGGAGCTAGGGCGGTTTAGCGTTCTATGTTGGTCAGCAAGCCGCCCGCTCCACACTGGGATTCGGTCAAGTCGCCCTCTCAGTATCATCGTCTCCTAAGGGGTTCTGCATAGCACCATAAAGGAAAAAGGGAGAAATACGAGGGAACATCCTGCTCTTGACTTGGGAATTGTTTTTCAATTGCGAGAGTTGTTACAGGCTGTAGTTGTGCCTTGGTATAGGCTTGATCCTTCTTGTTCAGTGGATCCGTCGCTGTTTGCATTGTATCATCCTTCCCGCCATTGAAATGTAGGTGCTTGCTGTTTTGGTGAAGAAGTTATTGAGCAACAGCCTTAGGATTGTTTGCCCTTTCCTGAACATCCACGACGCTCAAACTCCCAGGCATTGTTTTCTTCCCCTAAAACATCTCGTCTCTCCATTACTTCGTCCGTTTCGCATCTCCAGCTGGCGTCGACGTTTGCATCAGCACCATTCCCAAAAAGCACCCTCACCAGGCTGAGGAAGACTTTTATCCCAAAGTACTCTCTTTGACATTTAGACATTGGATACATCATTCTCTTCACGAATTGTTTCCCCATGCTGTCTCCCGCTAGTCAGCTCGCCGTCGCCATGAACGCCCAGCCCGACGATGTGGTGCATTTTCACGGTCATGGCCACCACGTACCACAACCCGTTCCAGCCGCCATGCGTCTCCCCGTCGAGATCCTTTGCCAGATCTACGAGCTGCTCGACCCATACGACTTCAACGTCGCACGACACACCTGTCGATCCTGGTTCTTGGCTGGCTTCAGCCGGACTGTTCTCATCAGCATGCTCAAGCGGGGAGGCTGGTGGTCCAGCGTCGAGGGCATCCTCAACCTAGAACAGAAAGATAAAATGCCCAAGATTCAAAGCCAGGGTCTAAATCAAGAGTGGATCATGTCCAAGTGGCTCGCCAGAGAGTGCACGCTGGGCCCAAATCACCGCGGATCTGAGCCCGCCTTCGTCGAAATCAGTCAGACGCAATTCGCGGACCTGCATTCCGACACTTCGATACCTGCCATCGCTGAAGACACCGCCACATACACCGCAAGCATGTGTGGCCGCTTCCTAATGGTCACCTACGGAGCAACCATTTATGTCTACGAATTGAACCATCGATGCAGGAACGCCAACTCGCCCAGGTGGGTGTTGTCTTCGTAGGAGGAGACCTCACAACGCCAAAAGGGTCTCCTGCGGCCTGTTTCAACCATTCTATGCCCGTATAAAGTTCTCTGCTGTGCCATGGATACATCTCGGGGACGCTACTCCATCGCTGCTGTCCTCGACGGCCGGAATGGCATCGTTTGTGACATCACAGGACTGGTCTCAAAACATGAGGTGACCGCGATATCCTTAAACTCCTCCGGCCAAAACACTGACGTTCGTTTGAAGAAAAACGGCATATCGTGCATGTGTCGCGCGCGGTCAGCTTCGCTCCCCCTCCTGTCGAGACAGGACCTAGGTCCGTCTATCGCAACGTTTGCACGGCCGACAACCCGCCACGCTCGGTTGCCATTTGCCCCCAACGTGTTTGCGTCGCTTTTGGCTCCTCGTCTGCTGTTGAGCTGCATTGGGTTGACAGCCATACTAACAAAGACCTTGTTCGCCGTTTCCCTTTGTCTACGCGGAGCGACTTTGTCTACTTTCTCCCACCTCGGCCGACCGTTGATTCAGCCAAGAAGCTTCGCCTCATTAGCTCAGCAGCAGCTACGGACTGCAGCTCAACTTCGATGCAGATCATTCTGGGTGCGTTGGGCGGCACCTTTGGTGGTTATCCTCCGGATATTCCGGCCGTCATCTCGCGACTTGAGACATCCGTTGCTGGACCCGAAACGGACATGTCCAATGTCTACACAATCACAGAACAGCAACTAAGTGCTTCTATCAGCCCTCCTCCCTTTCGCAGGACTACTTGGAGGGGATGGGAAAGAAAGGTCATCAAATCCAGGCCCGCCGCCGCGGACAATTACAGAGCTATACCCCTGAGCGACGGCTCTCATATCCTCTTCACGGACCCCAGAACCGGATACTTGTGTTTGGGTGCCGACTCGCCGGTTGGATCAATGACCCGTCTTCAAAGAAAGGTGCAATTCTGTCCTCCTTCAACAGCTTGCTCAAACGCGCCGATCCTCTGCGCTGTGGGAAATGATTTGACCAATGGAGTCAGGGTTGCCGCCGTCTTCCCAACAGCACAATGGGTGGATCAGCTTGGCTTCCAGTCGAAAAAGCAGCTACTTGTCTTTTACAGCTTGCCTCCAGATATGTTTAAAGACATCTCCCGCTTCGAAAACTTGGCTGGCATCGTCGATCGTCCCATGGCAGACTGGACTGCGTGGTGGCCGATGTCTTTGCTTCGACCCTTTGCTGCGGCCCACGGTAGCGGCCTGTACAAGTCCTCTCTCGTCCAAAGCGAACCATCATATCCGATAGACATTCACGGACAGGTTGTTGCTGTTTGCTCCGGCATTGTCGACCTCGCGTTAGACCCAGGCCCCGATGTGTTGGTCTGGGCTTTCAGTGGGCACGGCTCAGTTCGTTGTTGGGCACTCAATACGGGAGACCAAAAAAGAATGCTACGAAGTGCGGTCATAAGAGACGGGAGTCTGCGAGAGGTTGATTGCGATGGAGATGTAGCAATGGGTGAAGTGTCTGTGGATTTTGAGTCAGAAGGCTGTCCGTCGGATGCAACAAGACCGCTCACGTTAGATGGCAAGGTCACGACTGAGTCTGCCTGTCCGTCTCCAGACCGTCCTCTGTCATACAGGTACTATCGCTTGACAACCCGTGGAAAAGAGGAAGATTTTATCAATGCGGATTTCCTTGGGAACACCGAGGGTGTGGCGAGACTAGACATTGAGCTTCGCTGAAGGGGACACGTCTCCGAAAGGGAAGAGGTTGTTGGAAGAGTATGGATAAGCAGAACCTACCAGAATGATTAAACGTACCAATAGTTCACATCACCCTAGGAACAGAATCGCAACTCTTGTTAACTTCCATCCATAGGTTTTCAAGAACATCAACATTTTGGTTGTTCTACAGCTCTATCTTCTCTGACTTTTAACGTCTATACACCCCGTGTATCGTGTAATCCTTCTTTGGACCATTCACCGTGTATCGAAGATTCCACTCTTTGAGATTGACAGCTTTGAAAGCGAAATCGTACTTGACGTCGTAGAAGTCGTCGATGCAGAGGTGGCCGGCCTTTGCCTGCCACGGCTTCTGGTCCCCGTCGGGGGGCGGGAGGAACTCGATTTCGTGGAAGAGGTAGTCCGCCCGCTTGGCATCGTCCGTCTTGGCGAACCAGACGCTTACCATGTCCTTTTTCTCGTCGTATCGCCAGACGTAGCGACGCGTGGCCCTGAAGACCAGCCCGTTGTCGGCGCGGAACTCGCCGTCCTCGACGTAGAGGTATTCCGCTGCCAGGCCGTCGTCGTCGTCCGAGGGCTCATCCGCTGCGAGGGGGCCCGAGGCGCACTTGAGCCCGTCGGCGGTCTTGTCGCGGAGGAGGAACTGGGCCGTGCCGCTGAAGTGGCCGCTTGGGTGGCTGGGGAGTCTGCTGGTCAGGTCCCGTTCGAGGTTCCAGGTGCCCAGGAGGCTGCGGAAGACGGCCTTGGAGACGAAGCGGCTCGTCGTCAGGCCTGCGACGGCGGTGGATTGGGTTTGCTGGAGGGACTTTGCAGCTTCTGCCTTGGCCGCCTCATCGGCCAAGGGGGAGATGTAGCGCGCCGGCGTGAGGATATCCATGGGTTTGCCGTTGTGCGGAAGGACGGGGGTCGGGGGCTCGGGGGGCGCGGCGATGGGGATGTTGAGGGCGGAAGAGAACTCCTGCATGAGATAGGGGTAATCGCCCATCGGGAACTGCGAGGTCCGTGGGTCATCACGGAGGGATACAGTGCGCCAGTCTGACGCGTCGTCGAGGAGCGCTTCGGAGAGCTTCGGAGGCCGGGGGGCGAGGGAGGGCGGCGTCCAGAGGGCGGCGAAGAAGCGGGCCTGCATCTCCATGACACCCCAATAGGGAGACCTGTAGAAGCCAACGAAACCGAGAGAAGGCAAGTCCTTGACGTGGGTCCCGTGGAAGGCGAGGGCGAGAGGGAGGTTGGAGTGTTGTGGAGAGTGCTTTAGGGTCTCGAGGACCTTGGGCGGGAGGAAGGAGATGCATGGGGAAGGGTCGAAGCCGGTGGCCAGGACGATGGCGGCGACGTTTTCAATCTTGGAAGAGGAAGGGCCTGCGAGGGTTGCCGTGGTGCCCGTGATGGAGTGGAGCTTGCCCTTGGAAACGGTAATGAGCCCAGCGCGGACGAATTCCATGTAGTTCTCGCTGACGGCGAGGTAGGCTGGTTCGGCGTGGTGGTCCGGGGTGACGGCGACAGCGGGGGAGAATTCGGATTGGTCCTGGCCGAGGGCGGTCGTGTACACCCCGTGGGTCAGCTTCGCGGCGTCGGGGGTGATGTGACCCTGGCTGTTGCTGATGGGGGCGGGGCGGTTGTTGAGGTTGTATGAAGGGAAGTCTAAGGGGAGGAAAGGGGCTGCGGTTGAGCCGGGCTGAAAATTGGTTAGTGAAGAGTGCGAGTTTGGTTCAAGTGGTGGAGGCTACCTTTGGTGAGGTGTGAAGAGGGATTACCCATGTAGGACGCTGGGTGAGATGCTCGACGTTGAGTTTGGCCGCGTCGGGGAACGGGCTTGGGTCCGGCGCGTTGACGGCGGCGGAGATGTGCGTCGCGATGGTTCCTGAAATCTCGACGCCCGACATTTGTCCCCCGACGACCAGGATCTTGCCGCCGTCCTGCACGCCATTGGGGAATAGTCGCTTCAGATCGCGGTACTTGCTGCTGTGAATCACCGGGACGGGCGTCTCTCCGGATACGACATCCGGCATGATGGGCTTGCCAAAGAAGCCAGACGAGACGAGCAGATAGTCGAAGACGCTCGTCTCCTCGCCGCCCTCCGACTCAACCGTGATGCTCCACGTCTCGTCGTCTTTTAGGTCCGTCTTTACGACGCGGTGGCCCAGCTTCACCTCCATGCCGCGCCCGTAGCGATCGAGGTACCGCTCGAGGTACTGCCCGATCATCCAGGCGCGCGGGAACTCGGGGTCCTCGGGCGACCAGGCGAGGTCGCTGAACTGCACCGTGTGACGGCTCTGGTTCGCAACCATGAGTGGGTGGACGAGGCCATCGGTGTCGGTGGCACGGGTGGGCCAAAGGCCGCCGATGCGGCGCTGGGCATCATAGATGGTTACGGTGAAGGCGCCGGCGGGGGCATTGTGGAGGAGGGTCTTTGCGGCGACGAGGCCGGAGGGCCCGGCGCCTGAACGAAGAGGGTCAGTCGGATCGGGCCGGAGGCTTGATAGGGATGAGGTCAGGGCTCCTTACCGACGATGCAGACACGCTTGGCCATGATGAGGCGGTGATAGGGAGTGAAACGGGACAAAGGTGGGATGAGAGCTGCACCCCTCACTGTGAGATTGTCCCTAAGGGATGAGCTGCTAGGGAAGATTGAAGGTTATGTGAGCTGCAAACCAGTCAGTATTTTGCCCTGAACCCACAATTTCAGGAGAGGGCCATCTCACCACGCTCCAAAGTCTCATCAATCCACACGGATGCAGTGGAAGTTCTCACGTCAGATCGCCGCCGCCGAAAGCGCCATGTCGTGGTCGGGGATTAGCGGTAGCTATGGGGCTTGTCGCCGATTGAGACCGGCGCTTTCCGTGCTGAGTCATCATCGCATCGCCGTGAGTTGATCGGCCTGTCAGCAGGCGTCTACTGACTGGCGCCAGCTGGTCTATTAGCTCTTCCATCTCTGTTCTTGTTCACACATGGTATCCCACTGAGGAACATCGCTCCCCCCAACATCGATATTCGAGCTCAGTATAAGCCCTGGATCGATGTTTGTCTCCCGAGGTTTGTAGTTTAATTTCTTCTCATTATTCTTGTTAGATAGAGGTGGTACAGTCGCGACATGCGCCCCACATGTTCTCAAAGATCCAGCACTAACGAAGAGGATGGAACCGGCAGGCGAGGATGGCTGTGCATCAACCCAAAGCCTCGAGGATGAACATGCACAGCATCGTATATTTAAGATGTGTTTGATATGGCTTCTGGCTCTTATAAAGAGAGTACTCAAGAGCAAGGCCAGATCCATTAAACCCAAGAAGAATAGGTCATTACCTGCGTAGCAAATCGGGACACAGCAGTACAATAGCCAGCCATTACTAGTAGCCTCCACCATTAATGAGCCGGGTTGCCGCAGATAAGTTCCACCGTCAATCTGGCTTTCCTGCGGGTTGACAAGCCAGGGTTTCGGGTCCCGTTACGGCCGGTACGGGCCCAGATGCACCAGACAAACCCGGGCCCTGTTCGGCTTCGTGCAGTGGCTCCGTAGGTGTTTGAGCAGATTTTGGAGCCTGAACGTCGGCCATATACCTCGAAGTAGCCCTTCTTTCCGTTCCCTTGGCTATGCTAGTCGCAACCCCTACTAAAGGTCTGCCAAGCCGGGACAAGTCCAGCTATGCCGGACGGACATTTGACGTTGCAGATCCATCCTGCCAATGGGCCGTTAGAGTACGAATCTACGAGCTTCCTTCGACATCTCTGCGAGGAGTATAGCGATTTGTTCGGTCTCATTCAAAAGCGAATCGAGTGCCTATACTATGCCTATTAGCAGGAGTCATTCGTCCTGGTGATCAACACTCATTTGCCGGACGGAAGACTGCATTGTATCTCAGTTGCACACAGTAGTATGATTTCATCCGAAAAAGCTGCACCATTGGTCAATGAACCTCGCTGGATGCTGCTCTGGCTTACCTTCACTCTTGTACCACTGCAACACAGATCTCGAACAACGGCGCCATCCCTTTCCTCACGTGGGATCGATCCGTGCTGGAAGTCCGGTAGGCTGTTCTATGGGAAGATCAGCACAGTCGAGGAATTGCCCTATGACAGCAGCGGCGAAGCACCACCCGGGCGATTCTCCGCATCCTAGGACGCCTAGTTTGCAGATCAATGCTTCTTGGGGTAGCTGGATGACCAGACTAGCAGACGCGGGGTTGCTGGGGATAGTTACACTGCGGGTGTTCCGTGCGCCTATGACCGTTAGATTCCCCAGTGATTCTTGCCTCACTTGTTGATTTCACCCCGGAATGCCTCCTCATGAGAATGGGTTCCTTTGAGCCACCAGACGAACCAAGACAACCCACATAGAACACAGATCAACAGTCTGAACCAAACAACTGACCTAATACAAGTGTCCAATCTGTGTCCTTCTGTGAAGTACCGTACATCCGCAACCAGTATCGGGTGTAACCCTGATGCCCGAAAAGCCGGCTACAGGGCTCAAGGTGCTTTTGGTACTCCGAGATAGGCTAAAGAAATAAGCCAATGCAAGCGAGCAGCAAGCTCATGGACTTGGTGGTCCCATCATTCAGAGCAACAGAACGCCTTCGAAGCATCTGAACCGAGCATGGGTCCTCCACACAGTAATTAGCCGTCGCCGTCGCCGCATGAACCAACTGGCTGTCGAAGACGGGTCCCACTTACCGTTCCATGCGACTTCACCTCGATGCGTTTAGTAAGGCAGTATGTTCCATTGCAGCGGTTTGCCTACAGGTCACAGGCCCATTCATTGCCGAGTGTATCCCGAAGTCCTCTGCCGCGATGGAGGGTTCCTTTTTGCGCCCCCACCTGTCACCGTTGCGGGCAGGTGTGGTGTTCCTTATAATGACCTGTCTCCCGCCGAACTGGTCGGGCTTTCGTCATGATCTCGCTGCCACACCATCTACTCTCGAACCCAAGGGCAAGCCGAACTATCGACCACATCTGGCCCGTTACCAGCGAGTGCATCGGCGCTTTCCACCCCTGGCACAACCGCTTTGGCAAGCCTAGAATTCCTCAACCAGGCTGAACACATTTTCGTCCTGGACATTGACAGAAAGTCACAATGAGCGACAACGAAAAGGCGGACGCCCCCTCCGTGTTGGGGCAAGGCACACAGGTAGCTGTACATGACCCGGATGCGCACCTTAGTGAAGAAGAAAGACTAGAGGTGGTAAGTAAATCATAAGTTCCATTATAATGCTCTGTGAGCACTAATATGTCACCAACAGGAACGAAAGTTGGTTAGACGCCTAGACTGGATTCTTATCCCATGGGTGAGTTGAGATTCAAGTCTCTGGACAAGCCTGACTGACGCGGTTGCAGCTCTGCGTGCTCTACCTACTGGCGTTCCTTGACAGAACGAACATCGGAAACGCAAAGATTGCTGGCTTGAACAATGCCTTGGGGTTAAGTCGGTCCCAGTACAACTCGTCGCTTACGATATTCTTCGTTTCATACGCGGTGTTCGAGCCCTTAACAAACATCCTCCTCAAAAAGCTTCGTCCTTCCATTTTCATCCCGATCATCATGTAAGCTGAAGCCACCAAACAGTCCGAATCTGCGAGCCCCTTAATGCTAATCATGTAGGATTCTCTGGGGCGCGACCATGACCGGCATGGGATTTGTGTACAACTGGAGCGGCCTGATGGCTGCTCGATGGTTTTTGGGACTCACGGAAGCAGGGCTGTTCCCAGGCGTCAACTACTACCTGTCATGCTGGTATAAGCGATCGGAGTTCGGCATCCGTGCTGTAAGTTCGAGGAGATGAAGCATTTTTGAGTTTCTGACTCATAAGTCTAGGCTATCTTCTTCTCTGCAGCAGCCATCTCAGGTTCCTTTGGCGGCGCCCTAGCCGCAGCAATTGAGCAGATGGCTGGGGTCGGCGGCCGCCCTGGCTGGGCGTGGATCTTCATCCTTGAGGGTCTCCTCACAGTATTATTCGGCATTGCGTCTTTCTGGATGGTCCACGACTTCCCTGACGAGGCCAAGTTCCTCTCCGAAGACGATCGTGCCCGCGTCATACGCCGCCTCAAGATGGACCAACAAGCCTCAGCCGACCACGAAGAGTTCAAAATGACATTCTTCTGGCAAGCCGCGAAGGACTGGAAGATGTGGCTAGGCATGGCCATCTACATGGGCTGTGACATGCCGCTATACGCTTTCAGCTTGTTCCTGCCCACCATTGTCAACGAGCTCGGATGGAATACCAGCGTTGTCCGGTCGCAGCTGATGACTGTGCCTCCCTACGCTGCAGCCGCGATATTCACTGTCTTCATTGGTTGGGTGGCAGACAAGACTCAACAGCGCGGCCTTTGCAACATCTTTGTCAGCTTGATTGGCATCGTGGGCTTCAGCATGCTCATTGCCACCGAGAATCCCCAAGTCAAATACGCCGGTACGTTTCTGGGAGCCCTCGGCATCTACCCATGCATCAGCAACACGATCACCTGGGTCGCGAACAATGTCGAGGGGGTTTACAAGCGAGGTGTGGTTTTGGGTTTCGTTATCGGATGGGGCAACCTCAACGGCATCGTCAGCTCAAACATCTACTTCCGCGAGCCCCGCTTCTTTGAGGGCCACGGCGTCGTACTCGCTTACATGGCCATCTTTTTGTGCCTCGGCAGCGTGCTAATGACAACGTTACTGAGGATCGAGAACCAAAAGAGGAGGCAGGGTAAGAGAGACCATTGGACTGAAAACAGATCGGAGAAGGAAATTGAGGCATTGGGGGACAAGAGACCTAATTTCTTGTACACCCTATAGAATCGGTCCGCGAGCAGCGAAGAGTCTGTAGGTTTGTTATAGACCTTGCTAGTAGAACTACGTGTAATGCGGCCTAAAGAGTACGTACATATGAGACTCAATGAGAAACAAAATTTGGTTAGAATAAAGGAAATGTTTGCCTCATCGATAGAGCAGACTGATGAGATGAGGTAGCAAATTGATGGTGATCCTAGACAGGTTACGGATTCGTCGAGCAGTCATCAATTCACCATATAATTGTGTACATCGCCCTGATGGTCTAGCGGTATGATTCTCCCTTAGGGCTTAAACCCCACAACTGGGAGAGGTCCCAGGTTCGATCCCTGGTTAGGGCCCAACTCTTTTGCAGACCATCTGCTTCCCTGTTTCTCTTTTTTGACAAGCCATCGGAGTTGTTCATTCAGGCGCGCCTATTTGCTCCTTGCAGTAACCATGCGAACAACTATCTGTACTAGATTATTTTACTTTGTAAGCCGCAGTTTGTGACGACCGATTGCCCCCGTACAATATAGTCAGCAGGACATTGAGCTTCATGCATCCCGTTCACGATCGCTCATCCGTCATAAATATGGAAAAGGGCTTGTCAAGTCGTACACGTACTCGATACCTTTTACAATTGCTTTTTGTGCAAGCAAGCTCGCATCATGGGATGAACTCGGCTCCACCATGAGAATGTATGGCTACATCATGGATCTTGTTTTCCCCAACGGTGCCTTGATGCAAGCGGAGCTGGAGGGAAGCACGATGCGGTTTGATCAAGGACCTGTGAAAGGATGCTAAGGTCATTGTGAACCTAGTTTGCCTAATTTCTCTGGATGGCGATCCGAGGTCGAGTCTTGTGTAAGAGCCACAGCCAAGTTTGAGCGTGCCATCTGTGGCACTCATTGATGTGTAACTTTGGGTTCTTATCGTGCATGCATGCGAGCCGAGGCGTTGGTTTCTAGCAATCTTTGCCTGTGGAGAAATGCAAATGCTGAACTCGTTATCCGGTGGGCGGTGGAACGGAGCCTGTAATTCATCCAAAGCGGTCACGGATTCGACTTGCGACAGATTGCCCCAGAAAGTCAGAAATACACCTTGTACGACCTACCTCATTTGAAGTCCCTAGAGAAAGTCTCCATCTTCAATACGTGTGTCTATGGCGCCTCAAATCAAGGTAGTTGCAAGTACCATGATTTTTGCCCTACATCATCCGCAGCCACTTTCTTGATATAGGAATAATCAGTCCACGAACAAACGGCAGGTGTTCGAAATTCTCAGCACCATCTGAAACAAGACACAAGTTGGTCGCAATGTACTGTTGAGGTATTAATTTTACACTTTTGCGTAAATTGCTCTCTGATAGACAACGAATGTGATAGCGATGACAAGCAGTCCAGCTATACCAATGTTGTCCACTTAGACATAGATGAAGTTGGAGTAGGGTATCTAGACGTGGGAAATATTGCGCCTTCAACAGCATTAGTTCTTGACCAGAGAGCTGGCATGCAGAATAAAAGTAAAGCCTCTGAACTAAAGCAAAAGTCCATTTGTCTGATACAATGTTACATGTATCCTTGTGATTCGAATGATGTTTTAGTCTGGTATAGGCTAAAAATGTCGCAATGGACTTCGGAATTCTGGGATGTCAAAAAGATAAGTGTTGTAGGAACGCATACATATTGAATCCTCCGCTACCGGCTATGGACGCTGGGCTGCGGCCTTTTATCAGCAAAGGAATATCCTTGTTGAGTGTATGAGGAAAATAAACAGACTTGGAATCCTCTCCACTCGTCCTCTTTTGATAATGTTACATCGGAAGCCAAATTAGAAACCGCAACGCTGAAAACGGGATTTCAAGTCCTACACAATGTCACGCTACGCTTATTTCTAGGATAACAATAGCATCAGCGGTACAAAGCGCTAAACCAGAACAGAATACATTTGCTGTTAACGTTAAATTGAGAAACTTCAAGATGCACGAATGTGACGATAACTCAAGCAATTGAGTCAGCAATCATTGCCAATGCGCGTTGGGGTTTATTCCAAGTCAACGCGAGCTTTTGATCACCTCCGGAGGATTTAGTGGTTCATCTGACTGCTTCCGCGGAAGGTGGTATCGGAACGGACCAACCCCATCTCTTACTTTAAACTCTTTGCAGGAGACCAGGGGTAGAAAACCGATCTCGCCTATCACGAATTAGTTTACAAGGATCCCACATAGTACTTCTCCTGAAATGCATAGCTTACGCCTCATCCTTCAGATCCGCCAAGCAACCGTCGCTAAGCCAGTAGGGGATGAAGGCTAACTACAAACCTCTAGTTTATATTATAGGGGAGACTGGCGACATGAACTCGCTTGCACTCCTTACCGCATCTAGCCCAAAATCATATGTTGTGGGATCAGTGGTCAGCCCTTATGCTTATTGTCTGCCTGTCGATTAAGTCTTGGCTAGTAAGCTGTCCGATTTGTAAGATTTAGGCGCCATTATCGAAATTGTTGTGCCGCTTTGAAGGTGCGTTGAGGGCTAGACGACGGGAAATGCATCCTAGGCAACAATATTTTTCATCTAGACAGGGTAGAATGCGGGACAAAGGAAGCCGAATATTGAGCAGAGGGGGATGACCGGAGTTATCCTTTTGACAGGGCACTTAGTCACAGAAGTATAAAGAAGCGACGAGTTCCGGACTGAAGAATAACTTGAAGTCATACACAACCTAAAGCCATACTCTCATAGGGTTCTCAGCCAAGTGAGCTCCTTTCTCTCTCACTATACTGATTATGGTCCGTCTCAATGTCTTCGCCGCGTCTGCGGCCCTCTCCTTCGGCTCAGTCGTCTTCGCTGCCCCTACTGCCGAGGAACCCATCATTCCAGCCCCAATTAACTTCGAGCAACCCATCGGATTCGACCCTACTGTTGTCTCCTCTGCTAAAAGCCTGAAAGTTGCCAAAGTCATTCCAGAGATTATCACTCTTGATCTCTCCGGACAAGGTGGAAACTCCACGGACTTCCCCCCTTCAGAGACGGGCCCTACTGAGCCCATCAAGCGCGGCATCATTGGCGGCGTCGATAACCGAGTCCTGTGGCCAAACCGAGATTATCCATACAGTGCCATGGGCAGAATCCAATTATCCAACGGTGCAGTTTGCAGCGGCGCCCTGATCGGCTCACGACACGTTGTTACGGCCCGTCACTGTATCCCAGGTGAGGGCGTCGGTGCACGTTTCCAACCAGCGTTCTATGACGGCGAGGTTTTGGGAGGATACGATGTGACCGTTATATTCCGTCCCAACTACGGCCAGGAAGGCTGGTGCGCCAACGCCTATGACTGGGCCATTTTCGTGCTTGGCGAGAAGGCGGGACAGACCAATGGCTGGCTTGGGCTGAAGACAGTAGATCCCGATACCCAGCTCAACCAGGCTATGTTCTTTCATTACGGATACCCAGGAGACAAGGGAGCAAGGCATCCCTACCGCCAGGAAGCCATCACGGCTTCGGCGGCCACGTGGTGCGACAGAGGATCTCCAGTTGTGGTGGATGCCGATATCGCTGGAGGACAATCTGGTGGGCCTTTTTGGCTCTACGAGAATGGTGACCGGTACTTGTATGGCGTCGTAGTTGGTGGCAATGACGAGATCACCGTGGTTGCTGGAGGCCCCTCTTTATTCGAGGGATACGGCATTCTCCTGAAGGATTACCCGAATTAAGTACTAGAACCAAAACCTTGCATGGTCAAGTAGAAGTATGATAATTCCAGCTGCAAGCGTTCTAAATCTTCCGTCGGGAAGTCAAGAACACCCAAATCTTTTTTGGTGACGCGAAGTAAACCGTGGAAGTGTGTTTGTAATATGTACACACACACATTTAGGGAGAACAAGCAGCCACAAATCGGGAGACGAATGAAACCAAATTCTTTTTTGAATCCGATTCATTCAAATAAAAATGACAGACCGTTATCAGTTGAGCATTGGCAAAAGGCATAACGTTCCATGCTGGTACCAAAGTCTGTTCAGGGTCATGGTTTCTGGCAATAAGAACGACTGTTATAGACAGATTGACGATAAAACATCTTCTGGGGAGGGTAATCGGCTGCTGAGCTACCGCGTCATCGGTGGGAATTAATGGAATAAGTTAATCAACGCAATATGAGCGACAAGATTTGTGAAGACAAAGTCATGCATATTCACATAAGATAGGATAATTTTTTCCACACGAAGGATTGCCAAACGCGGACCAATGGACTTTCGAGGCTACTTGACCCGAGTAACTACTTAGGCAATACTGTAAGTGTTGATGCCTGACTCAGGAGGCATATGGAGAAGCTTGGCCGCTATGTGACATGTTTTGTGTAAAATCAGACATGAGTGCATCGTCCCGTTACCTAAATGGCAGAGCCCATCCCACTTGCGGACCTGTGTCCCATGTCGCTCTTTGTTCTGTGGGTCGACAGGCTTACGGCAGAGAATTGTCCAAGCCCCCGGCGACGAAGTAGCCCTTGAGCAAGGATGAACCCGAACAATTCCATGCAAAGGCATTCTCCAAAAAGCCCGACTCACCCGGTAAAACCTGCTAAACGACAATTCTCCTTGAGACGCATGTGTTTCTGAGAAATAAATGGGCTACACACGGCTTCCAGTTTCCGTGGTTAAAAGGCCCATTGCAGCCCATGACCATCAAAGCCCATAATGTTTACAGTCAAAGACTTAGTTTAAGAATTTGGTACTGTCCCATTCACTCTATTCAATTAGTCAAGAATCGTATGTACAGTTTCGTGACTGAAGTCGTTGAATAAACTTCCAACAGTAACCAGAAGAAAATTAGAAATTGTACGCTGAGATATGATCGTTCAATCCCCTTCCTATTGTCTAGGCCAGATTGCGAGACTCATATTCTAGAAATCCATTCTACACGAGCTGAAGCTCAACTCTGAATTCCGTCATTGCTGCGACAACTGGCTACCTTGCTGTGCTTGGACGCTCTGTTGAGTTGAGGTCTCTGAATGCTCGATCGGTAATCCCGCACGGAAAACCGAGGACTTCTTTTACAACTTTCTGTCACGAGTTGCCAAAGGTGAATAGCACGAGCCACCCATCGAGTCAGTTGGTTGGGGTTGCATGCCGGCTTTTCGAGGTCTCAGACTGCAGGCCTCGGGGTTCGCGCAATTTCTCCGCGGCCGCAATGGTCAGCGGCAAAAGCTTCGCAAAGATCCAGTTTTCCATGGATATACCAAGCCATTGCGGCGGCTGGAGAACTGTGGACAGTGCTGCCGTGGCAGGGCGGGTAATCGAATGATCAGGCTGCTAATCATGGATCCCAGATGTTGCCCATAGCACCGAAGTGAAGAATGATGTCCTTGTGGCTTGCGTGCCCAAACAAATGTATTCATCTGATTTGTTACAGTGCAGCCGCTCGGTACCGATTCCGGCCCCAGAGATGACGTGCAGACCTCGCTAGCGAATGGATATCAGCCTTTAGTTGACACCAGATGAACACAAGTCTCCCCCTGAGTCGTTTCTAGCCCTCACTGCGATGGAATGCACACATGTCCTCTCTATTTTCCCACGGTGCCTAGAAATGCCGACCTGCCTGTTTTCGCTGCTTTCGGTATCGCCAGCAACATGACTGAGTGGTCAGGGGTTTTGGAGACCCCCGCACCTCTTTTGTAATACACTTGACTCTGGCAACTTGAATTGCGCCTTCAGTGTGAGGGAATTCGTCCTATAAAACAAATAGTATCCCAAGAGTTGCTTGGGCCTCAAAACCAGAAGTCACAGTATCAACAACCAGATTCCTTCATTGCGCCAGGCACTTTCCATTCTCTTCGTACACTTTCACTGTCAGCATTTGACTTGAGCCGCGAGAAGCTCGTTTGACTTTCCCCAATTCTACTTTTCATCTTTAGCGCACTTTACTAAACACCATCTTTGAGAGTTCCGGCCTGACTCCTTTCTTTCAATCACTATGAAGGTTGTTTCGGTTCTTGTCCTGGCTAACCTTGCTGCTGCAGCTGTCAGAGACTCCGAGATCATTGCTTCCCAGGACGAGATTGCTCGGGATGTCGAAGGCATTGCGAAAAGCGCCACGCTCGCTGAAAGAGATGAAGACGATGTTCTTCCCCAATCCTTTTCTCTCAATGAGAGTGACGAGAAAGATGAAGAAGATGAGCTAAGTAGACGTGACATCGGAATAGATGGGTCACTTGGAGAAATTGTGGCGCGTCAAGCAAAGAGCGATGCGGGTGGTATGAAGCCATAAATACACAGGGCTACAGTGCATTAAAGAAATATTTTGCTAACTCAACTATAGGAGGAGGCAAGAATAACAGCGGGGGCAAGAAGAAGAACAACGGGAAGGCAATTGAGAAAGCAACCTCTGGCAACAGCAACGATCAGAAGAGAAATAGAAAAAAGAACAACACCGAGAAGGAAAACGGCAAAGCGAATGCTGGGGGAAAAAAGGACAACAAAGGGAAGGATAATGGGAAATCTAACGCTGGAAAGAAGAACAATAGTACGGCGGTGGACGACGGAAAGTCCAAGGATAAAGGTGCAAAAAACGGGAAGAAGAAGGGCGAAAATGGCAAAAAGGCCAACCTCTCTACAAGCGCTGGTGCCGCAGCTGCTGGAGCCGCCTGAGCGATGGTCATGTCTTTCCTCAAAAAAGAAAAAAGAAAGAAAAAGAAAAAGGAGGTGATACATGAAAAGGATCAGGATAGAAGTTCAAAGAGGCCAAAGGCTACACACCTGCCTGCCCAGCCTGGCAGAAGACGGCACCTCTGGCTCATGGCCTAACATGACAAGGCTGTTCTTTTCGCACAGTGCTTGGGCTGATGGGGCGACCGGGAACATGGTCTGGAGAGACGCGAGAACGCTGTGAAGGCCTTTGCAGGGAAGCTGAAGTGCCCCCGCATGACGTTTGGGTCGAACCATTGGTACGTTGCTACTGATCGCGACCACCTGCCCAAAGGCGACGAGATACTGGACGAAATCGTTGTGATTGAAGGCAAAGGGCATTGGTTCCATAGCTTGAGAGCGAGGATTGCAACAGACATTTGGAGAGATGGTTTACAAAGATTGGCGTACTGCCAGGGAAGCAGGTTACCGCTTAGGGCATATTACATAGTACAACACTTAGCTTCCTCGATTCAACAAATGATGAAGGCACCAAGGGCTTTAGAGTCATGGCAGGGGCAGTGTATCCGTGGGTACAGAAATATTATTGGTGTCTCTTCTAAAGGTTTATGACGCACTTGGCTTCACAAGAACGTGACCTCAAATCGTTGAGGCAATAGGCGGTTGGGACATAATACCGAGTTTCTTAACTTTATGGAAGTGAGAAGGAACTTTCCATACTCTAGTCCATGTCTTAGTTGACGGTGGTGGTCAGCAAATTACCCAGATCTCTTGGTGGCGGTTAACTGCGTATACGGTCGTTATGGGTGCGAGACACAACACTTAGCTGAGAGCCCTAGATAGAATAGCTACCCAATACTTATGACTGACCGAAGGTGTTGGTGGCAGTGGGAAATGAATGCCGTCTTCTGGTTATCAAGTCTCTGTTTAGTTAGACTAACAATATGCTGTCAGGGACATGACTTTCTCTGGCCACCTAGGGTTGGGTCAACGGGTCAACCCATGAAATGGGTTTTTTGAGTTTTGGGTATTTGGGTATGGGTATAAAAATCCCCATACCCAAATGATAAGATAAGGATGGGTTTATGGGTTAAGAATATTTGCTGGGTTTTCTGCTTAATACGTGATAGATACCCATAATACCCATATCCAGCGAACAGAAATCCCCATTTGGGTATAACCCAAAAACCCATACCAACCCATATGGGTACCCAACAGATACCCATGGGTCAAATGGGTTAGGACCCAAATGGGTACCCATGGGGATTTTTAACCCTATGGCCACCTCTCTACAGCCAGCTTATATCTCACCACCAAGATCCACCCGGGTTATAACTTGTGGTCCCAGAATCTGACCCACCGAAACGGGGAGTGGCAAGGCTGAAGGTCCTCGTGGAATAGAAATGTATGCATCTGAACCCATCAGCGCGGCTGCCGCAATCGGAATCCAGAGCACAGAATAGGGTCATGGTTACTGGGTAAAAGGCGAGTTAAAGCAGAAGCAAATACGTGAGTGTGATCAGAGTCTTTTGGATGGATCATCTACCGTATTCGACAGAGACAGCGACAGCGACAGCGACAGCGTCACTGGCGTAGTATGGACTTCGTGGGTGTCGGATGCACCGGCCCGGGCTGCCAATGACTTTGAACGTTGATCCTGCCTTGAGCCACGTGCCTTGGTTTCAAGAAGCGATTCGTTTCATTGTCCAGGACGGTGTTTGAAAATCGGTATCAAGTCACCGTCAAGGTCGATTATGCCGCGGCCCAATGGATGGGTGGGTGTAGGATAGCTGCCGATTTGAACCTTTGCAAGCACAACAAGGCCGATGTCGGGAAATTGTCGGGGATGGCATCCCGCGAATTCCGGATGAATACCATACCTCGGCGTAGCTATCGACCAAGCTGACTTTTTCAAGCCCGTGCAAGCAGTTGCCGGCACCGTTGGCCTGTTAGGGGTGGGGAAGGAGAAATCATCAGGAGACAGTCTGAGATTAGGTGATGCTTATGGATTTGGGACAAAGAAGCACGATGGGTTCATCGAGGGGTCCAAGCTCCCTCTCATTTCCCTCGTCATCGCATGTCTGACGGCTATACTTCCCCACCCTCACTTTACTCCTCCAAAGCTTAGCCCGGACAGTCTTCGACGCCATAGACGATAGTCCACGAACATGTACTAGAGCGCCGCAAAGGTATATGCAAGGATCTACAACTGTCGTGTGGGATCAATAGCCTTCTGTTTGGGCAAATCAAAGTTATCTATCATCCGTCCGTTCAACAGAGTGCAAGGCGAGATCTCGATGTTTTCCAAAGGCATGCACGGATGCATCCGACGTCTTGGGCTAAATATGCATGGCGTTGCGCAATCGAGTTGACTCGGCGGAAGCTTAGGCCGCGTGCGTCTCGCGTGATTCTTTGGAAGAACTGGTCATCCTGTCTTTCAAATGAGCTCTGCTGAAAATTTTCATCGAATACGACTAGGGAAACTGCTTTGCCCCGAACTACAAACTTGTATATGGGAAGCTCATTCGTCTTGGCTCGTGGCGCCGCCACCACTACCAACATCCCATTGGCCATTTTGGTTTCTGTCAAGGTGTTATTCAAGGACAAGAGGAGGGAAACGCACAAGCCAGCGGCTGAGGGCTTTTTTGGGTGGATCTGTGGCAGGTACCAACCCTGACCGTGAGAATAAAGATGTTGTCTGTGCAGTTTAAGCCTCTGTCCCCAAATCTGAGCCCAAAGTTTCTAAAATCAAGAGCAAAAAGTATCAAGTTTATTTTCCACACAGCATAAAAAGCACATGAGTCTATAGATCACAGCATCTTGAATGTTCGCGCCTCGGGCTCTAGCCAAACATCAAGACTGCTAAATTGGGAGAACGTCAGTCCGCCATCAGATCACGGCGACAAGGAGGACTCGGGCAACAAAGAGTACTCAGGACCGGATCCCCAACTAGACAACTTGACAGATTAGCGGCCCATTACAAATTTAGCAGACGCGCCGCGACCTGCCCGCATTTAGAAATTAGACTTTCAAGGTCCTGAGTGGGGTCATGGTGACGTTCCAAGCTCGGCCGCCATCACCGGACGGACGGACGGCGATTAAGCTTTCCACCTAGGCTTGCCACATCCGTTTGCTGGGAGGGCCACTACATGCCCAAATGACTACATACCCAAATGCGTTCCTCTCCTGCCTTTCATATGTATTTGAACCCGAGAATTTGTATGGAACTTGCCGCTGCAGGCCTGATTGATTTAGACCAAGACTAGCCTAAACAGACCCTCCTCGACGGCGTTGAGCTTTCCCAAAAGGCTTGTCTTACATAACTCCCTTAGCCCCCGGAATTTGACGCTCGATTTGAATCAAATTTCAACAACACCAACTTCTTTGGAATGCAAAACTTGCAATAGGCTATTGTCGGCAGGACCTACTCGCCATGGCCAGCATGGCTGAGCCCCTCCAAGGCCACTCGAGGGCGGAAGGGAAACGCGCAAAGGTACTGGCGCTGCCATGATTACTAGTAGAGTCGATGCTAAACGCGAAAGACCCAGCATGACGTGTTCAAGCCCAAGACGTGCATGGCGAGCCTCGCACTGCCTCAACGGCGGCGAACAACCGCATACCCCGCCTCGTGGGTCTCGAGATGGAAGATACGTCAGAAAATCGTGCTGCCGCAGACCGAGAATCAAACACGGAACAGCGTACCCGGACCCGTGGTAATCGCACAAAAGCGAATTCGGCAGGCTGAGAAGGGGGAAGAGGCTGAACAGGAACCCAAACTAATCCTCCACAAACCCGTCCGAGTTGGGCCCGAGCTGATGTCAGTGAACCACTTCTATAAGGGCTACACGACGCACACAAGTGTGTTTATCTTCAGTCGACTGCCAAAGTACTACACTACCGACCTTCCCAACGCCAGCCACGTACAACATGCCACTCACGCAGTGTCGCTCCTAAGCGCGGCAAAGTCGTTGCGCCAGTCTGGACTTATGCTGCAGGCCAGGGGGCATTATTGTAGAGCGCTTTCGACCTTGAATCAGTCTCTACGAGATCCGGTTGGTGTACGGGATGACGCCAACCTTATAACGCTGTTTCTATTTGGATTATACGAAGTAAGCCATTCATGGAATCGACATCTATAAACTTTGGAACGGTTGCTCACAACCTCTTAGGTTATTAATGGCCCGCGAGGCGGGAATGCTGTCGATTTGCAGGAGAATGTTTACCCACATGGCGCGGGAGGTCTGGAGCTTTTCAAATATCGTGCAGAGCATGGCTTGACGAATGAAGTGGACAAAGGCTGCTTCATGTACTTTTGCCATGCAGCGGTAAGTTACGTTCAAAAGGTACCGGATATACTGCTACAGACTCTAACGGGTTGACGACCAGCTGATGGAGACGTTTATCCAACGACAACGCCTGACACCCCTCTGGCCGGTTCTGGAAACGGTTGAAACCCCGTGGGGCAAGGGACCGATCCTTGAGCCCCTTGTTCGGCAGATTGTCGATTTCAAGAGAGCCTTTGACCTCTTGACGCAAGATGGCGGGGGCGAAACGAACTTGACCAAAGGTCCACCGGAAAAGCTGGTAGAATTGCTGCGGGAAGGCATGTATTTGAGTGAAGATCTCGTCGCGGCGATTGACTTCCTTGGCTTCTCAAGTGTTTCGACTTGTTATGAACAAGAGCAGAAAGTCTTCAACGGGCTTTTTATCTTATCGGACAAAACTTCGGCCGGGATAGCCAGGAGCCACTACCGTGCTCTCAGAATCTATCTTCTCGAGCGAGCCATGGAACTACTCGATTGGATCAGAGAAGCCCGAGGAAATATCCCCGAAGACCTCGGCCCGATACCGACTTGGTCTGACGGCGTCATAGTTGTGGAAGAAATAATCGAAGACATACGAACCGTCTTTGGTTTGGAGGGTAAAGAACAAGTTACGGCGGAGGGCACCGCTTACCGCACCATGACAATGTTTTGGCCGGTGGTGATGGTTCGAACATCTTGTTTTACAGGGCCTCAGAGCGGGCGTTGGGTTGCTGAAACAATGCTCGAGTTGAGTTCCAATGCTGGGTTTGGGTTAGGGCTCGAGGCTGCAACCATATGAGATGTATCGAGGTGACCGGAGGTCCTGGCTCAGCCGTAGGCTTGTTGGGCCTGACGGTGCTGTCATCGCACTGTTTCGACGGACGGCCGATATTAGAAGCGGCGGTAAAGCATCTCAACGACTAGACAGCTCTGTACGGAGGCACCAGAGATATCTGAAACACCGAAAGACAACACGACATTGGCTGAGATGCTTTTTTAGGCAAAAAGAAGGCACAGTGACGTTTCGTCATGTACCAATTGAAATAATAATTAAGGTGGATACTACCTAAAATGGGTATATCAGGTCTTGGCAGAAATGAGCTAATCTGGCACCCAATGGGTTAGACAGGCAGCTAATAGATCAGATATCAAACGTTCCTTGCATTGCCCGAACATGACCGCCGCCGCCCGAGGGAGTGGTCAGCTCAAGCTCACTCGTCTGGTCGCTGCCGAGTGCTTTTGTGTGCCTATAACAGCCACCCCTGAAGCGGTCCTGCTGGTCGCCTCGAAGCACCTCGATCCTGTCACTCCCGTGTAGGCCCTCTTCGTCGCAGCTGCCCAGTCGAATCTGATGGCGACCGCGCATGTCTTTCCACTCTTCTTTGAAAACCTTCCAGCTGGTCATGAAGAAAATGACGGCGTTCCAGACCCCTTGCAGTGGCAGAACCGTGGCGCTGGCGACGTTCAGGCCAAAGTGAGACTCGTCGCGGTTGATCATGTTGTATACTCGATTTATTGAGCTTGGTGTCCAGGTCACCAGCACGGAAATGGCGAAGATGAAACTGGTTCGAAGATATGCAAGTTTTACGGGATCCAGGCGCTGCAGCCTGTTGGAAAACTTGGTCCCGACAGCCCCGATCCGTTGGAAGATATGACGCCGGGGCTTCGGTGGAGGTGGTTCGGATGTACAAGTGGTCTCGAAGCGTGGACTCGGCGAACCGCCTTCTTCGCTCGTACGCCATGATCGCTGGTGTCGAGGTTGCTCTTCACCCGCTCCCTTGGTGATGGCTGCGGGCGGCAACTGGGGTGTCCAAGGTCTCGGGGTCATGGTGGTGATCTGCACCTCCGTTACCGCAGTGCCATAAAACTCGGTACGACCTGTAAGGTTCTGACGGGTGTCAACGAGGGGACGGTCATCTCGAGTGCCTGCGTGCGACAGGTAAGATACCTTTTCAGCAGATTCACGCTCGTCTGAGCAGGTTACGTCCTTGCCGTCTCGTCTGGTGTTGCTGAATGTGAGATTGTGAAGCTGGTTACGATGATGGAAAACGTGATAGCCGACGGCGAAGTAAATGACACAGGACCCGAGAACGCAAAACCAAATGGGTATGTAATAGGTGAAAATACGAAGGTCGCCCCATTTCGTGTTTATCCAGCACCACAACTACGCAATGTCAGCATCAGTCTTGTTGCAACCTGCCCTTATCGAGGCGCAAGCGTGTACGTACTGTCGCATTGCCGTAAATATAGTCGTCGGGGCCGTCGGGGCGGAGGAAGAGGCAGATAAGAGCAGGCATCAGAGGGAAGCCAAAGCAGACAACGCAGTAGACCCAAAGATAACGACGAAAGGAGGCGGGACTGGCGCTGGCGAAGAAGACGAGGTAAACGTTGACGGCCATGGCGAAAGACCACCAAGGATCGGATTGCATGAACCTGCCGAGAAAAGGTATCAGTAACAGACGACGAAGGGAGGGAGACGAGAGAACGCACATTTCAAGTAAGAAGGCTTGAGCCTGACATAAAGCGGAGGTCTCGCCCATACGGAGTCCTTCATAGCCGATGGCACAGGCTACGCAAGCGCCGATATTGGCGATTGAAGCGAAGACAATGAATAGGTTTGGCACGCTTCGAATGCGCTTGAACTTCCAGTATGTGATGAAGATCAATGTCACGGCAATGAGTGACAATGCAGATCCAGCTCTTTCAAGACCGGTCACCACCTCGATCTCGTACTGGGTCAGAGACATGGTCGTGGCTCGAAACTAGAATGGTCGAGGCAAGGCACCTCGGGAGACCTGGCGACAAACCGATGATGGAGGTAACAAGTCGACAAAAGTGCGCTGTGAACGAAGGTCAGGACTCTTCATTCTTGATTTCTATGCAATAAGGAGCAGGATGAGGGAGGAGTAATAGTAGTAAGAGTAATCACCTTTGTGTCCCTGAAGCTGGAATACAGGCCAGAGAATACCAAAACTCGGCCGCCTTGGCGTATACCGGATAGGCCCGAAAGGTGAGGCGTAGGGGTATGTTGGACCTGACGGTGAATGTAGCACAGGCGGCCAGGGCGGGATAAAAGAGGTTCAGATGGCCCGGTTGGAAGCACCATGGAGGGGCAAGAGCCGAAAGGAGTGGCTGTCGAGAAGTCGGAACTGGCCTCGAAGGCTCGAAAGCCAGAGCAGAAGGTTGTGTCGCTCGGCTGCAGGCTTGTACGACGAGACGCTGGCCTTTGCAGTACGGGAGAGGCCTAGTGTTGGAGCGTGTCTCGATGGCTGAGGCGTCTGCGGGAAAGTGAGGAATGAGAGGCGGAAAACAAACAGCAGGCGAGGTCATGTATTAATCTCAGGGAGCCCGGGCTGGTAGCCGCAGAGCATTGAGAAACTGCATGACAGAGAACCGAGACGAGCCTTGGAATAGGGGGCAGGAACGGCGACGCAAGGAGGGGGTTACACGGACGAGAACGGTTGAAGTAGAGATTGCATGGGTGGAAGTGCGAGGCGTTGGTGGCGACTGGGATCCGGATTGCAAGTGATCTCCTGCAAGTCGGCGAGGGATAGTCTGGCTTGGGAAAGTACAGAGTAAATGGCGGACGGTAAACTGAAAGGTGATATTGCAGGCTGAGAGGAGACAGGACATCCAGAGGTGGTAGTACCTATCCCATTCTAGCCAGGCAATGGGCGATGTCAAACCAACGCCTTTCCCCGGTTAAATCTGGCGGCAATATGGGATCGGTGTGGCTTGAACAGCGATGTTGGCGCGAGGGTTAAGATGTACAGTTTGTTGCGTGTGTCGAGGTTCTAGAATGAGAAGTCCGTCCAGGGTTAAGTGAGAAGGAGGGCAGCTGGAGGCAGGTACCAAGAGATGCAGTCAAAACAGAGCACTGTGGAGGAGAAGGCACGGGGACCTAGGTAGGTTAGTAGGGGAGAAAGAAAGGTGGGTTGAGAGGGGAGGCGGAGGTGGAGAAGAAGGAGCGAAGGAGGAAACTCCCACAATCCAAACAAACACGCTGGGTAGATAGAGGAGATTTGCATGTACCTTTCCCGCGGAAGAACTCGAGTATGGTGTGGCAAGCCAAACTGCGGTACGGTAAGGTAGGTCGAACGGTCGAGTCTCCAAACCCAACGGGAAGGCGTTGGTAGTCGGCGACGTCTCCACCGAGAGGGAAACATGAGATCTGGGAGAAGATGGTGTGAAGTAATTAGACATGCGGGAGTCTGAACATGGGATGGAAATGTCGGGGGTTACATGGGGTAATGGTGGGCACGTAAGACTGTACGACGGTAAAAACATGTCGAGCACAGTAAGGCAAGAAAAGGCCACGCCATGTACAGCCACCTTCCCCACGATGATGATTGCCGCGCCGTAGCTTAGGACGCGGAGATGGAGGGCATGATCACCAATCGGGCCCGATGGTTGGGTTTCTGCTTATTTGCGGCACGCAACTTGATGCAGATTGATGCAACGCTCTTCTGGACTGGCCTGGGCATGCCTGGGCGATGTGGCATCCAGATGGACATGGTCGGGGCAAACGAAAAACCCCAGATCAAGAGAGATGGACAGATATCCGTGTCACGGAATTTTGGCCTAGCATCGACGAGATATAGGTTGCCTGGGGAAAAGAGGATGACGGGTGGTAGGCAGACTGCCAATCACTTGTAATCGGGACCGTGTTTGAAGAAGAGGAACACGCATCGTCATGTGCTAGCAGCTCGAAGAAGGTAAGAGCGAAGCCTCTGTACTCGAAGCCAGTGAGATAGCAGGTCTTACTCATCCGATCGACCCGTTGTCCGAAGTGACAAATGGTGCTCGCCCGGGACTTTGGGGGTTGGTGTCTTGCCTCCACGCGACAACTCAATTGACCGTTGGATGTTGCTGTCAAAACCTGTTATTGGCTGCAGGTGCCAGCTAAGATCCCGGTCCCCACTAACCGTCCATCCGTCAAGAAAATGGGCAGGCGTGGGCTGGAGAATACCTGTCGAGTCTGCACCTTCCACACTGTATCTGTACCACGTAATAGTGAGGTCGAGAAGAAAGAAGAGGGCAGTGACTAAACAGGGAAAGGGCGCGAAGGAAATGAGAGGAGGAAAGAATGTCGTACAGACATGATGATCTGGCAAGGAGCGTTTGCTTGGCCGCCCCTCCTGCTGCATCGCTTCCCCATAGGTAGAACATCTGGAAAGCATCAATTCCCTGTACCTCGCGTGCCTTCTGACCCGACTGATCTCCTTCATATCTCCCCACTTCTTCTCTCACTCAGGTTGCCCTAGCTGTCTGGCCTTGCCTTACCTTAGGCATCCAAGAATAGGTACTTCGAGGCAGAGTAAGACACGAGGAGCGTAGAGCCCATTGCTCTGCCTTACCTAATGCAGGGTAATGTGGTGATCGGCCACCTGCACATGGTTGTCTCAACTGCACGACTTCCTCTGACCGCCATTTTCGAGGCTGACGCACCGAAGCCACACTCTCTATCTGCCCGGCCTCCCCATCATCGAATCATCATCCGTCATCCGTCATGCTTACTTCTATCTTGCATCCGTCCAAGCAGTCTGCCGTCTTTTCGGTCAGACTGAGACTTGCTGGAATGCGGCCCTGAGGCGTAGACAATCACGACGTGTTTGGATGCCTCGCTGTCATCGCATCGGTGGAGGGAACGCCAGTGTACTATGTTAAAAAGGATAGAAAAAAAGAAGAAGAAAAAAAGATTTTGATCGACTAGACCCGTTGTAGGCTATCGGGATGCAGGGTACCATCGATGAACGACAGCGATAAATTGCTGGGTTTTGGAGCATCACATCCGGCCCACGACCCGATCTTCCATCCCCAATGTCAAACTCTCAGGGTCCTGAACGCCGTTCATCATTTTGGCCTGCCTTTGCTTGCGGTCTGAAATGAGAATCGACCGGAAATGTTGGCAATTCACCCAGAATGGCATATGGACACCCTTGCCCATGGCGTTGCACGCAGGGCTGCATGCATTCTTTTGGCTGGCTTGCATTGTCTAGTCGCCTGTGCCGCAGCTGCAGCTTTAGCCATGGGAAGCTCAAGAGCCTTCACACGGTAATGATGTTAGGCGATGGTAATCGAACGCCCATCACAGTCTTCTTATTGCCAATACGGATGCCAGTAACCTGGCATGCTAAGACAAGGGAGCAAGCTGCCTGCCTTTCCCCAACCTTGCCACAGTGGACTGCAACTCGGATGCATTGGACTGCAGATGAGATGGGGGCCAACGGCGCGACAAAGCAAACAACTTTTCTATCACATGATACCCAACCAGCATACAAGATGCGCGGCGCTATCGTTTGCCTGTTGCCAGTCTCAAGCCCCCTTGTCTTGGCGAACCATAACCCGTATTGCATCTCTTGGACGTGCCCTGTGCGTCTGGTCGACAAACACCTCGCTGCCATCCGGACATCAAACTGCCGAGCGAAGACACTCGCAAAGTTCACGGTCGGCCAGCCCTAGTTCGAGGACATCAGCAAACACTGCTAAGAGAATCCGGACATCCGCATTCTGATTTCGTTGGCAACGTTCACAATATGTCCATTCTCTTTACGTTTGTCAAATGAATTTCTATTAGTCAAGTCCTTTACCAAGATGTTGACTGAATTCGGTCTAACTTAGAGCTTCTCCTTCACTTTCATACCTCGAATCCATCCAGGCTGCCCTTGGAAATGTACTCTAAAACCCTCCGTTTGTAATCAAGTGGACCTGCACCCCATGGTGCACGACGCGCGAGGGCAATCTTCTGCTCCGCAGTCTTAACCTCAAGTGCCCCATCGCCTTCTCCGCTGAACCAGCCGGGCGTGCATGTAGCCATGACACTGAACCACAAGGCACGCTTCTGGACTTCGTCCCCGTAGCGGGCCTCTGCGTCTCTGGTTGGCTCAATGGATATAGTTTCGGCATTATCGGTCCCCCTGTAAGCTTCGGCGATCACGTAGGCAATCAGTCTGGAGAATACGTCGTATGCTGAGGTCAAGTTGTATGAGATCCCAGCACCGCCCGAAGCACCAGTCCAGAAGAGGTTAGGAAATCCGTTGGTTGCGACGCCATACAGAGTTCCATAGTCTGGAGAAAAGTACTTTTCCGAAATCTGGACCCCGTCCCGTCCGACGATGGAAGCATCTGTTCCGGTATCGGGAGATCTGTTCTTGACACGGGTGTAAAAGCCAGTAGCCAGGACCAGGACATCCAGCTCGTACAAGGTCCCGTTTGCCACCACCCCTGATGCATCGAAACTTTAGACGCCTTTTCCGTCAGTATCGACAAGTGTAACGTTTGATCGGTTAAAGGCTGGCAAATAGTCGTCGTTAAAGGCCGGCCTCTTGCACCAGCCCCCATACCACGGCTGTAACTTCTTTGCAGTTTCTGGGTCACTGACGACGTTGGATACATGGGCGCGTAGACGCTCGGCTCGTGGAACATCTAGATGATACAGAGAGCTGATATGGCTCTGGACTGTGTCTTGGGTGATGGTTGCCGTAGCACTTCCCAAGAAGCCGGCAATCGAATGGGAATCCGAGTGGGTCCAACCATCGTCCACCATGTTCTCGGAAACCGGGTCATTGGTGACGAAGTGGTGAAAGTTGTCCTGTCTCTCGTATTGCCAGCCTTTCTTGTAGGCCACCTTCTCCCACTCCGCAGGCGTCGTTTCCCGCTGGTTGCGCGGTCCTGCAAAGGTGGCGGTACGCTGGAAAACGTAGAGGTGATCCGCCCACTTTGCAAGGTCCAGGACAATCTGGATGGCATTTGCGCCTGTGCCGATAATGCCGACTATTTCCCCCCTGAGTTTGACCATATTTGGATCTGCCTGGCTACCGCCGGTTTACTGCCAGTCCCAACGGGCGGAGTGGAACACTTTCTTATTCGCCACAAGATCCTCGAAGCCTGGGAGTTTCGGATAATGCGGGATGTTGAGGATACCAGCAGCAGTAATGAAGAATTGGGCTTCGACTGTGAAGTGGACAGGGTCGTTCGGCCGGCCCAGGTCTTGGGCCAGGCTGATAGTCCACCGGCGCGTTGTTTCGTTCCATTGATGGTGGGTGACGCGGGTGCAGAATTGGGTCCGGAGCCCGTAGTGCTGAGCAACCCGCTCGGATTGCCTGCGGATTTCGGCTCCGTACGAGTACTTGTGCTTGGGGACGTAGCCGGTCTCCTCTAGCAGCGGCAAGTAGATGTATCCTTCCACATCGCACATGAGACCGGGGTAGCGGTTCCAGTACCACGTGCCGCCGAAGCAGCCAGCAGTATCGACAATAACAATGTCCTCGGTTTTGAAGCCGGCCTCGATCAGGCGGACAGCGTGGAGAAGTCCCGCGTGGCCGGCGCCGATGATCAGAAACTTTGTCGAACTCTTGTCGTTCAGAGGGGAGTAGCGAGCCTGGACCTCCTCTTTGTTTACCCAAGGGTCTTTTCCTAGCTTGTCGCCAACAGTAGGGTCCCGAAAGTCGGCATATTGTCCTGCGCCTTCAGGCCGGAGTCGCTTTTGACGCTCTAGCTGATACTTCTGGAACAATTCTTCTGCAGACATGTTTAAAGTTGTGAGTTTAAGGCGAGGATTATTAGGGAATAGGTGAGCTTCGTGATATTTAATGGTCGATGCAATGTGTAAGTTTTCACGACTTACTTTGAGCATGTGATATCTCCTTCATTATAAGTTTATTCTCTTATCTCTTCACTTGATACCGGGGCGGATGCCCGGTACAACTACAGTAACGTTGAGGTTACGTCTCTCTAAGATACCGGGACGGCTCACAGGTCATCTTAGGCCGGCGGCATCGGGCTACACTGCCCACTGACGTTTCCAACAAGGATTTACAACTCACGCGCAGCATTGGGTAAAAGTTGTGGAGCGAGAAGACGGAATGTCGGTCAGAATATGCCGACAGCGTCGGGCCGCATGTTCAACTGACGTTCCCAACCGGGGTTCTCAACCAGAGTTTTCAACCGGAGTCTCGGACCAATGCGTAGTAGCGTAACCAGGTTTCCAACATCGAGAGTACCAAGACGGCCCCTCGGCAATAACAAGTCAACCGCAATTCATTACGCCGCCAATTTGGTTATCGGAGCGGATATATGGGCCTTGCCGTACTGCAGCTGGCAGCCTTTACTAAAGTTGGCTATAAGCCGTGTTGGCCAAGCTCTGACGTTTATACTTTTCTTTCAAGCACTCACCCTTTTCATATGGAATATTTCTGAGACTTTTTGGCCGCCATCGTTTGTACAATTTCGATTGCCATGGCACTTTATCTTTTCGTAGAATATTCTTACCGCTTTCTGCTTCCTCTGGGGCAGTCAGCCCGTCAAGGAGGATTCTCCACAACAACCCTCGTAGATCACACCTGCGAAGTCCCAAACTCCGGTCAACCTGTCCTGCTGTTCAATCTCAGTCGCCAAACAGGAAGACTGGAGACTCTGTTGAGACTTTTGTGCTTGTCTCACAGTAGGTAGGACCTTTTGGCGGCTTGCGGAAGGAGTTGCCGAAAAGGAGGCTGAGAGCGGGTGATCTCTTAGGGTATTCTTTACTGTCTTACTATATTGGATGACGAGGCATAACATGATAACTACGTTTCTATAGATATCCGCGCACTCTGGCCTGTGACATGACTATGGAAAACAATTTTACGTGTAGCCGGCGCTGACTGCCCGGAGATTCTTCTGGAAAGCGGGCTGCCCGATAAGAAGCCTTCCGCTTAACGTCCGAAAAAAGGTGCTTGTGCCTATACCGATCAGTGAGAGTAAACAAAGCATAGACGGCGTTAATATACGTGACCAGATGAGGTCGTTGAATTGATACTGTCACCCTATTCATTGGAGAGATTGGCAGGCAAGTGCTTAAGAATTTCAGAGAGCACCATGTGTAAAGAACAATTAACTTATATTTCCGTTTGATAGAAGACTATAATATGTACCTCGTCGAAAGATCAACGATGGGCAGTATACACAAGAAAAAATGAGAGTGCGTGCCATGTCAAGCCAGGGGTCCGCCATCAACATGCGGCCCTTTTAACTTCCACTCCTTTGGGTGGACTACAAATCGATGCATGGTTCCAACACCGCTACAAAATACCGCCAGCCACGTCTAGTAGACAGCCGGGGCCAGCGAGTTTACGTAGATTTCGAGGTTCGCGTACCCGCCAGCGCCAATCTTCATACCGTCCGACGCGTCGTTGGGGTTGAGGCCGTTGGCCGTCTCCCAGTCATCAGGGATGCCGTCGCCGTCCGTGTCCTTCTTGGGCGTGCCGGCCGCAATGGTGCCGGCGCCGCCCATGGAAGCCTCGTCGGAGATGAGCTTACCGGACTTGCCATAGGACTCGAGCTCCTTGACAAGGGCGGTATCGACAGCGTCGCGGACAATGGAGGCGCCGACCTTGGAGGAGACGTGGGCCACGGCGGCGGCTGGGGTGAGGAGCTTCGCGGGCGCCGGGTAGGCGAAGGCGGTGGCCTGGATGGCCATGTTGGAGTAACACGTGGTGGAGACGCAGAGAGCAGCGCCATTGAGGGATCCATCACGATTCGAGTCGTAGAAGTTGTCCTTGACGTAGCCGCGGAAGTTTGCGTTGCCGCGCGTGAAGGCCGTAACGGAGGTGGAGGGCCCGGAAATGAAGTAGTTGTTGATGATGTTGGCGTAGCTTGAGCCGTCGGAATCGCCCGCGATATAGCCTCCTCCTCCACCCCAATTATAGACAACGTTATTCTGAAAGTCGTTGACACCCTTGACCTTGGGGTTGCGCGTCTTATTGTCAATGTAGAGGTTGCGGAAGAGGGAGACGCCGCCGTCGGTTTGCATAAGGCCACCGCAAGAGTGGGTCTCGAGGCCCTGGGCGATGATGGAATCGGCAATGGTGACGTTGGTAACGTCACCCGAGATGGAAAAAGTCTCGTCGCGGCCCCAGGAGACAGAGACGTGGTCGAAGATGAGGTTTTTGCCGTCGGCGATGGTGATGGCGTCCTTGCCGCTGTCACCGGACTTGCCCATGCGGATGCGGATATGACGGACGATGGCGTCGTTAGCATTGGACCAGGAGAAGCCGTTGCCATAGACAGTGATGCCCTGTCGTAGGTGTCAGTGTTACTAGACGTGAAGGGGGAAGAGTGGGATGGGGTTTGGTGTTTTCCAGGGCGAACGGGGGTTGACTTACACCTCCAGGTGCGGTCTGGCCGGCAATGTAGATGTTCTTGGAAACTACGATGCGAGAGCTGATCTTGATGACGCCGCCGACGTCAAAAACCACGATGCGGTTTGCCTGGGAGACGGCGTCACGGAGGGAACCTGTGCCGGAGTCGCTGGAACAAAATCTTAGTACAAGGACACAGCAACGGTAGGTGACGGCTTGAGTACTGACTTGAGGTTGGTAACCTTGTAGACCTTACCAGTCCGGCCGCCAACGGCGTTGCGGCCGAAACCCTCGGCACCGGGGAAGGCGGAGGGGGCGGCGTCGGCGCGGGCGGCGAGCTTAACCGGGGTGGCGCCGGTCCAGCCGACAGCACCACAGGACGCCCTGTTTGTTTGTTTTGTCAGTCCATTTCTAGGGAATGATTTGGAACAATGGATTTCCCAAACTGTTGAGTGTTTAGAAGGATCAGACGAGAAGTACGTACGAAGGGTCCTTGCAGGGCAGAGCCGCAGCGCCCTGGTAAAAGAGGGCGGCAGCGGCCAGGAGAGTCGCGGAAGCCTTCATGATGGGAAACGAAACGAATGTACCAGACAGTTTGAAACCAAGGGTTGTAAGGTGTGAAAAGAAGCTTGATGCCTCAAGGTAACGAAGATCACCTCGAATAGGCAAGGGGACGGAACGGCACGCGTAACAGAAGGCAAAGATCCCAGAACCGCGGGAAAAGGGGGACGAGGAGGGAGACGGGGTCCCAGGTCCAGTTTTGTATGTTTCGTTTTCCCATGCTCACGTCGCTGATGCGACGGGCTCTACACTGGCCGCCTTTTCGCGGTGATGATCCACCGGGATGGGTGGTGTGGTGTGTGGTTCAGGGGACCGTGACTGCTTTCCATCAAGCCCCTACAGAAAGGGGATTTGGAAGGGGTCAGCCCGGCACAGCTACATGGGGATGGAGGTTTGTCGCCGCTGGGATCGGGGACATGCTCGTTTGGGCATATTTGGCCGGGTGCTTTGTTGAGTCACCCAGCTTGAGTGAGCTTCATCAGCCTATTTTCTCCGTCTCCTTGATGGGATCGCCATCATTCATTCCTATACAGAACCCGTGAAGCGCATGTATATTTCAAGCTTCCCGATTTGGGAGGCATATTCATTTAGGTCGGAAAGATGCTAGGGCGATTGGTGGGAATGGGCAGACTTGGTTCAAGCACACCGGGATGAGACGTGCTCAGGAGCTGTCCAAAAGGGGCATGATGTGTGGGGAATCCCTGGCGTTTGTGCGCGTTTGGGCGATATTGAAGGGGCGCCCGGCGGGGCCGGGGCAACGGCGGCGGAGGTTTTTTGTGGTTTTCATGTTGATGATGGCGGCCGGAGACTTGTTTGCAGTGCCGCCGCGAACAGGGAAGTCTTGCGCAATGCGAAATGCGAGGGTCACATTGACTAGACGAGGGTCGAATAGGGAATGCTCCTCGACGGAGTGCTCCGGACAGTTAAGGTGCTGTTGTTAAGCTGTGCTAAGGTTGTTGACGGATGCTACTCTGCGATCCTCGGCCGACTACTTTCCCACCTGTCGGACGTCATTGTCGATATTGGGCACATAGTTCGTATGTCTTGTATATTCCTGTGACGCGACATCAAATGCAAACTCTGTACGTGCATGGGCGGCTTGGAACAGCATCACATAGCATTCGCGTCCAGTACTTGTCCATCGATCCAGTTTACGGAAGCCATGTGGTGTCAATTTCTCATTGCACCTACAAAGAAGCATCTCGTCGGTCAGTGGCCGTTATCTTATGACCGGATCTATGTACGACAGCGCAGACTCAAAAAGCTGCGACTCGAGACCTTACCCACGCTCGTGGGAGTTGAGGCGAAGTCGACCTGCCATCCGATCTCAGTTGAGATGCTGTGGCCAATGACGAGTGGTGTAGTGGTGCAGTGGTGCGGTGGTGTGCATTGGCTCTATGTGGCTGAACTCTTGCACAGCCAGCCATCTGGGAAAGACGTGCCTAACTAGGCACACAACAGTTGGTGAAGTGTTTGTCATCCACCATCCGCTGGGCGAAAAGCCGGCAATTGTTCTTTTCGCCGAGTGTTTCGGCTGGACACTTCGTGCCGGGGGAGAAGCTTGGGGACCGCTCTGATCCAGGCGAGGGTGCAGCAGGTAGTGAGCCACAGGGCATTGGGGCGTTAACGAGCTCTCCTTCCGCAAGAGAACGCTGAGGGGGAAAGGCGATGTCGGAGCCATTTGGGGGGGGGGACGTTGCGGTTGCGGTTCAAAGAGGGAGAATGGAAAGCTTTCGGGGACAACAGGGTCGCAGGCTGTTGAGTGAATCACGTGGTCGAGCAGAGAGGCCTCTTGCTGAATGTCACACCTCCCCCAACCCAACGAACCGAACTTAGAGTGAGACAGGTCTAGAAAGTCAAACGTGCGCCATGACGAATCGTTTTTACCGGAGAACTCGCTAAGTCAATTTCCAAGGGTCTCAGTAGGTATGCCATTGCGCCGCGTCCTCCTCAGGAACAGAGCCGAACCCAGCAGCAATGCGTTGAGGGTTTCGGCAAACTTTGGGGGGGTTTGAAACACAAAGAGACCAGACTGAATCGAACGGCGGGAAGAGGACTGCTAAAATTTACAGTTGAAGAACTGGTGTTCGACGTGACTCGTAGCCGCTGAAGGATCAATGCGGTGTAACTTGTCGCTTAAGCCTGGTTGTGTTGGTGAAGTCCAGCGTTAGCGCAAGCTGAGCAATTAGGTGATGCATCCCGCCGTTTGATGGTTTTGCTCGTCACGACGGGCGCAACTCTACCCAGGCTCTGGGGGCTCTCGGTGTTAAGGGAAGGGAAAATCGGCGCAACATGCCGCACGCGTCATCCGGTGTCATCGGCGATTGCCGGCCACCAGTCCAAACCCCCTCACCCGCCTCGGCACTTGCGACATCATATGCACTGCCAGCCCCCAACTTTGGACAACGGGACGAGTATTGAGGGCATCAAAAGCTCGCGAGGATTGACAGCGCCGGCGCAGATTCTTAAGCGAGTTTCTCAGGCCAGGCATTAGAGACATACCTGAGATGGCGCACCGAAGACGGAGATCGGAGATGCCGCCGTGTCTGGAACTGCAATTCCGCCATTGACCCGGTTTTTCTCCGATGCACCGATACTCCATGTTGTCCAATCACGTCCTGCACTGCTGCGGGATCCCGCTGACTAAACCCCTCCCTCAACCCCACCGACCCCTCGATGCGAAGCAGCAGCCTGCGCGCCAAAACGACGTGCGGCACAAAGCGCCGCAACAACGCAACGCAACGCAGCGCCGCCCGTCAGATCCACCCCTCACACACATGCTCCCTTCCCCTCTCTTGCTCTCAACTCAACCATTCACTGGCCACTGGTCGACCGGCAGGAACTAGCTTGGACCAAAAGAGATATTTTACCCCCCTAAAAAGTCTCGGTGTCATCCCTAACATTAGTCACGCAATCCGCCAAACTGAGATCCAGACTTTCCCGTAACCACACCCTCCAACAAACAACCAGAAACACTACTTTTTTTGTCGTGTCGTCCCAAGAAGAAAAATAGCCGACCAACGCACCATCGCACCATCGCAGCTGTCCCCGAAACCTCAAAGGGGAAAAAAGGTACATCTTACCAAGAACCGTCGTCCCTCGCTTTGATTTATTTCATTTGGATGCTTCTCACATGACGTACATGGCGCAAGGCTGACGGATCTTACCTCGTCTTTCACACAGAGCAGCACAATACAGACAGTAGTCCCCGTCTTTCCCCGTTCCCTCCGCCGCCCGCTGCCTTGTGTGCCTAGGCACCGACCGACCGATAGCCGTGTCCCCGAGACGAACCACCTCACACTTACTCTTCCCCTCCAAGGAAACTTGACGGAGCATCCACCACCACCTCCCACCGTCGACCTAAACCCCATTAGCTCCGCAATCGATCACCTCTCGCTCTCGCCGGTATTCTGTCAAGGGATACTCAATAGTACTGAAGCAGCGGCAGACAGTTGATGCGAGCTGGATCGTTCCGGCTTCTGTCGTCGCAAGCGTACCGCTCCCCGACCCCTCCCCTCCGGCGTCTCAGCACGCCGCGCAACCTCACCACCACCACCCCCGCCCCCCGAAACAACATCACGATGGTGGCCACCCCCGAGACCATCGAGGCCATGACGCCTCCTGGCTACAACTTCCCGGACCACCGCCTCCGCCTGCAGCAGTCCGAACCCGACCGCGAGCCCCTCGTCCTCGTCGCCCCGGGTTCCTACAGCCCCATCACCTTTCTTCACCTGCGCATGGCCGTCATGGCTGCCGACTACGTCCGCTACAACACAAACTTTGAGCTCATTGGCTCCTACCTGTCCCCCGTCTCTGATGCCTACAAGAAGCGTGGCCTGGCGCCCGCCTGCCACCGTCGACGCATGTGCGAGATCGCTGCCGAGCAGACCTCGCGCTTCCTCATGGTCGACCCCTGGGAGGCGGAGCAGACCGCCTACGTGCCCACCGCCGTCGTGCTCGACCATTTCGAGTACGAGATCAACGTCAAGCGCGGCGGCTGTAACGGCAAGCGCGTCAAGATTGCCGTGCTCGCCGGTGCGGATCTGATCAACACCATGAGCCAGCCAGGCGTCTGGTCGCCTTCCGATTTGCGCCACATCCTTGGCGACTTTGGTGCATTTGTGCTGGAGAGGGCCGGCGTCAACATTGACGAGGCCCTCGGCAATCTCAAGGAGTACGAGGACCAGATTTACTACATCCCGCAAGTCGTCCCCAACGATGTGTCGAGCACCAAGATCCGCTTGTTGTTGAGGAGGAATATGAGCATTGACTACGTGAGTCTTCCCTTCCACTGCTTATACATACCGTTCTTCCCCTTCCCGACACTTCCTCTGGTGTGCTGTTTTAGCGGTTCTTTATCAATTGTTTTCATCACGCTGCTGCTTCTCGGTGAGCCAATTGCTAACAAGACACAGCTCATCCCTGCCGAGGTCATCAAGTACATTGACGAGCACGGTCTGTATCACGAAGACGACACCGCGACAAATGAGAAGGGCAAGGAGAAGGAAGTGCAATAGGGGCCATCTGCACGAGTTCCCATGTCAAACGACTTGTAGAAAAAAAGACGAGACAGAGACAGAGACAGAGAGAGACATCTCAAGAAGCAGAAAGAAGGGGAACAACTGGCGTGGATATTAGCGTTTGGGTTTTACGAGACGACGGCACAAGGTCTTTTCTTTTTTTCCATTATTTTCTGGGTTTAATTAGGTGCATCGGGCGGGCAATTTCCCCATGAGACATATATATCTATCTTTCCAACTCCGGGACCTTGTCCCAGGCTTCAATCAGGAGTCCCCTCAAGACCGGCTAGTGTCTGTGGTATGTCCAGGCATTACTTGTCCCTCGCGGACATCTTTATCATGCATAGGCGTCATGAATCATGGGTAAAGGAGCATGACCGTGGGCAGGCGGGACACTCCATCAACGCAGCTTGGTTGGTAGTGAGGGTCCTTTTTCTTTGGGTTGCTGCGTGGGTCTCAGATTCCACCTTTGTTATGGATGTGGAACGAGAACCAGCAGATGTACTCGCAAAAGCAGGGTGGCAAGGTATATTGGGGATGTTAGTGGTTGAATCTGCCAAATGTCATACTTCACTCGGTCTACATATTCTGAATACCAGTTACGAAGTCGTCACGTATGCCCTTGTCCCAAAAGCTTGACTCCGATTCCCATGACACCTTAAGAGATGGGTTTCCGTTCCCTCCTATTGGGTTGATTCTCATTATAGCTCCTTGCCTGGACACCCAACTACTCTCCTCTACAAAATGAAGTCTGCTTCACCCTCTTGCTTGTATTGAACAATAAATGCATACCGGCTCTTGCCCCTGTCAAATAAGAGCAATTGGTAAGTGTCCCATACCAAGATCTCACAGTGCCAATCGATCTGCGTCATCGTTATCTTTTTGGGATGGTCTGCATCCGATAATCTTATTTTTGAAGATTGCTGTGTGTTTTACAGTTACCGGCTTATTAGATTCATCATGATGTGAAACCATGGTATAATACTCGAGTATTCGAAGTGGCGTCACGCCTATCGTTTCGCTCTCAGCAGGAGGCTTCGGGCTTCGGGCTAATCGAGGTCTCCACCGCGAAGAAATTTGAGATCGTCAAGGAGTTATTGAGGGTCAGTGCCACTCTTGTTTAGGCTACTAACATAAGGAGAACAATTCTTTTGTGAGTAACAGCTGAGGTGTACAAAATACGACAACAGCTTTGTTTTATAACAATTATCAAGGTTTAGTAGGCTATTCATAAAGAAGCCAGCTAAGGAATCTCGAACGACAACTAGTTGGCCGCCGTAACAGCAAACGGGTTCGCCGTGAATGTGCCGTTGGGATCAGCCTTGGCCCTCGCCCTGCCGATTCTCTTGTACTTCTCTTCGTCCTCATAGTAATACTGCCAAACCTTCTTGTCACCCAAGTTCCATTCCCCGTAAGAGCCCCACAGAAGTCGCTTGTCCTTCTTGCTGAAAGAACTGGTAGGCCCATTCATAATGGAATCGTTCTTGGCCTGCCACGCCTGGGCGATCTGCCTGGATTCGTCGTCTTCCTTGTGGAAACAGTCGAGGACCTGGACGACAGTACTGTCTCTCCAGCTGAAAGACGTGCCATTGTCCTTGTTGAGATTAAAGAGCGAATGGTCTCCCCCGAAACACTGAATCTGCACCGCAAGCTTGCATCTCTGGTAGAGCTCAAACTTCTTGTCGCCTTCCTGGCCCTCCATGGCTGACTTCGGGTTGTAGATGAGATCGATACGATCAACGACGGTCTCCACCCAGCCGTCTTTGACAAGACTTGTCGAGTTGGTCGCGTACGCCCGTTTCTCGTAGGGGAGGTCGAACTCTCGTTCCTTTGGGAAGATCCACTGACCAGTCATGTCGGCCATCTCCATGTCAAGCTTCTTGTATTGAAGGGCGAAACCTTTGAGGTTTCGGAACTTGCCGAACCAAGCGTCAACGCTGGCATCGTATCTGTCGGTCTTGCTGGTCGGACACCATTGCGCATAAAGTATTATGGCAGCGGGGAATTTGCCCTCGAGAAAGTTTGCGATGTCCTCTCCAATCTGACGGTTGATTTCCTCTTGCATCTTGCTCCATTCTTTGCCGTCCTGCAGCTCCTTGAAAATGGTCGCAATGGGGAAGTCTTGACTGAGAACACTAACACAGAGATCAAAGCCGCGCGGGACGGTGCGGTCGTCGGCCATCTCAGCGACAACGGTGAGCAGCTTGTCGAGCAACTCCTTGTTGTACAGCCACAGAGCTTTGATACCCTGTGGATTTTTGGAGTTGTTGATGCCGGGAACGTCGGTTATGTAGCTCTGAGACTTGTATACCTCAATGATGTAGTGGGTAATGATGCCAAAGTTTCCAGGGCTGCCGCCAAGAATGGCCCAGAAGAGCTCCGGGTCGCTTGCCTTGCTGATGTCTCGGATGTCACCGTCGTGACAGACCATGGTAATAGTCCTGATGTGATCGCCGAAGAGTCCAAAGCTTCGGGCAAGCTGGCCGTAACCTCCCGTTTGGCCATGTCCTCCAATGCCCACGTAGGCACATTGGCCGTGGGGGACGAAGAGCCTGTTGTGTTTGAGATAAGCGTTCAGCTCCATGTTACGGATGCTAACACCAACGTATACCAGCGCTCTATCATCGGCAATTGGTTTTGCTGGTTGAATGACCATGAGGTCTTTGTAAGTATTGGACAAGTCGATCTGGATATTCTTGCCGGTGGTGGACGATGCGCCACTGTACTGGTGACCACCGCTCTTGACAGCGATAGAGATGTTGTTCGTTCGGGCAAAGTTGACTGCCTTGATCACATCGTTGTCATGTTTGGGCCGGACAATTAGATCCGGGTTCATACCTCGCTCACTCTGGTAAGTTGAGCTGGCATACTGCTGGTTGAAGAAAGCGTAGTCTCGCTGTTCAAACTCATTACCATCCCGAGAATATTGCAAGCCCTCGAAACCCTGAATTCGAACCATGATTGCAGATGTTTTAAGTAAATAAGTCGAGATGATGAACTGGTTGATTGATGACTAGATGAAAACTTGAGGTAGGTGATCCTAGGCTTTTAAGCACAACCGGTCTACGCTCAATGACTTAAGTTGACAGTACCAGCCGTCTCGGACACTTTTAGCCAGCAGATTTTTGGCACCACAAGCTGAAAGCTTACTGTATTGAAGAGTGCTACTAATCGGCCCCGTCGGAAATGTGATGGTAGGCGCGTGATAGTGAGCATCCCTTCTCCGTAGCAGAGGATTTCAAGTCAGCCTCGTGTCTCACAGCATGCTGATAGGTGCTGCTGAACGCATCAGCTACTCGTACCATTTCAACTTGTCGCTACGCTCTTTTCAACCATCACATGCTTCAAAACATCGAGGCTGCAGGATCGACATACACTTTGCTCACCGAGGCTTGGAAGCTGATGCTTCAGTAAGACAAATTAGCCAAGCTGAAAAGTCTGAGGGGAAGACACGACAGCAAATGGCTCAGGCACTTTGGGATTATAATCGAATTTAACGGATGCGGATTAGTTCGTTGCTCTCAACAACCCTGCCGTGGACATACGTTGTCGCAAACGGCTGCCTGTCATGCCCCCAACGGCCAAGACAAGACAAGACACGCGTAAGCGTTTTACACTACCTCGGCCATTTGGAATTTGACGAAATGGCAGAAGCATAGTTCAGGCGCAGTTTGTTTGTCATTTGCAAATTTTCAAAGGAAAAATATTTGACTTTCCGCCCGCATTTAAGTTGACTGGATGGAAAGCTGTCGCTTGAATCCCAGTCATCATGAAAGTCCTCAATTCTTGTACCTTATTGTGTAGGGAGGATTTCTAAGGAGAGGGGAACCTCTTTACTAGATCGAGTTCGGCAGCGGGTCGAGCCGACCCTAAAAGCGTGGCTAGCGCAGTGTCTAAGTCAACTTCCAGGGGCTGACCTGAGAAAAATACGCATTTGCAGTCGCCCCGTAGCTCTTTCGGCTGCACTTGCCGAGACATGGGCAAACGGCATCTGCTTACCTGACACCATAGGAGCTGCTTGACATTTATTACAAGTTTATGAGCCATTTGGATAAAATCAACCAATGATTGAAGCCTCGACTGTGCACAAAAAAGAGCCAGAATTAGTTCATTTGTACACAAACTCAACAAATATGTCAAGGGCTATGTATACTCAGGTCTCACACCGTATATGCCGCGATCAGCCGGAATATGCCTTGCCATAAGCAGAACAAGCTGACTTACATGGAGCGGGGTGATAGCCAATAGGACATGATACGAGCTTTGTGTCCAAGGATTGCTTGTGACATCAACATGCTTGCTATTATTATCACATGGTATCAAGATGATAGACTACTGACTGGGTAAAAGATTTGTTAAGTGCGCTAGGATGTCATGACTCGGAGCAATTAAGAATGGACTTCCATTCATCTAGTGTGGAAGAGATTACGCAGAAGATCGGTCAGTGACCAGACGCACAGTCGAACAGTTATGGGTACAAATGGCGCTCTCACAGGTTTCTATGCTTCCTTGTACGAACAGCTGCACATAAATTTCAGCTTTTGCATCCGATGATGGTGCCTGTCCGCATGACGTGTCAGGTTTGTCGGTTGCTGACAGCTGACAACTGACACCTGAATCGGGCCTCTGCAGTCTCCGACTTCGATGTGAGCCTTGCAAGTACTACATCATATGTAGATTTCCATGCAGCCTAGATATTTCATTCATCGGTTTCATTTGTAGAGTGGAATCCGACCTGTCGGTGGCATCTGGTTGAGATGAGATGTGACATGAGCGGAGCGAGAAAGGAAGTAGGCAGCTGCTGGCGACCCAGGCATAGCCACGCATGCTTGTATTTCCTAGCTTCTTCTATTTGTGATGATGCTGAAACGCGATGAGAAATTGGTCTTCGAATATAGCATGTCACCTCCATTAAACGCATCATCAGAGGTCCTTGCTATTCAACGCGTGACTGAATACTGCCTTCGGATGGCTGACTGACCCAAATAATGGACGGCTCCGCCGGTCGTGGACACCTATCACAGACTGCAATAGATACTTGTTAGCACTTTTTGTCAACTGATAAGTTGTGGTTAGGACGGTAACTGCACGATGTGCCTTTGCCGAGTGTGAGCGGTGACTCGAAAGCTTCTTGACACAAGCTTTCAAGAATTATGATACAAGCCTTTGCGCAAAGCCGACGAGGATTAATGTGAAGAAAGTTTTGACTCAACGTCTCTAGATTACATGTGTCAAGGTTTTAAAGCGAATTAGGACATATCAGCAAGCTTTTCTATAAGAGAAAGAGGATTAAGGCCTAATCTCTGGTAAAAGTAACACGAATGATATTTTCACCTCAAATGTGGAACGAGTGTCAGTCCGTTGCGAATACCAGTCAGCTCCCGTAAACTATGACATTGTAGAAACTGAAATATCTAAAGCTTATAGTGAATGAACCCTCAAACTAGGCTAGGGACGGCGGATCCAGACAAGCAGGTTGCCGTTACCGTAGGCGAATTCTGCACCCTGAACTGTGTTATCCGCGCGAGTGCAATGGTCCATCACGTAACCAGCACCCCGTGCGACGTCGTTGCTGGACATATGGTATTAGCAATCAGTCTGTGGCCAACGCAACGAGGGTATCTTACCAAGTCGAAGAAGTATACTGGTTGTTGGTGCCACCCTTAACTCCGGTGATTTGGGCGCGACCAATGACGCAAAATATGCTGACGGCGTCGACTCTGCACTCCTGGCTACCCTTACGAGCGAGGTCGTTGATACAGGCCACAGCATCAGGGACCTATTTAGCGGATTTAGAATGATGCATTTTGCTCGGAAAATGTTGTAAACGTACGTAAGCCTCAGTATCGGGAATAGTATTACAAGTGTAGCGTTTCTGAAGAAGGTTTTCTCCGGTTGGTGCCGCGCTCGTTTCGTTAAGAGACGCGTGCCAGGCTTCAACAGCCTCCTCGGGAGTTAAATTGTCTCCGCTAGGGTTGGCGATAATGCCGTCAACCCATTTAGAGAAGGAGAATATCTCGATAGCGTCGGACTGGGTGGAAACTGGGGTGGCTCCAGTGAGCTGGGCCAGAGCCACAGCAACTAGAGCGGAAAGAGCAAAGTTGACCATTATGAATGAAAGCAGAGGAGTCTGTTACTTCGATTGTCTCAGGCTTTCTGATGTGGAACCAAGAGAGAGAGAGAGAGATAAAATTCGAGTCCTCGGACCGTCATTTTATATTCCTCTACAGAGACCCAAACATCCTAAAGTGCAAGAGGGGTCAGGAGGATGCAAAAGGGTCAGAAGGATCAGAGGCGTAAGGAAATTTGGAGCGGCAGCTGCCTAGAGCTACGGATATCAAATTGTAGTCCTATAACACAGACGAAGCAAAACATCTGTACGGACCAAAGTGTGGAGTAAAAGTGAGCATTTAAACCAAAGTTCCAGGATGATCGGGAGTAGCCACAAATAAGTGGAGGATGTCAGCTTACACCTGACTGTCCTAACCTCGCTAAGCTCGAAAAGTGAACGCTCTGGCTTAACTGAGCCCCATTGAATGCAGTAGTGAATACCTTCGCTTAAGTGTTTTGGAAAAAGCTCCGTCGGTGAAGGCTCTGGCAAAGATTCCGGATCCAGCGGTGGTGAGGATTCCGGCGGCCACTCTGCCAGGGAATGACAGAAGCTGTAACCTGAAGGCACTTTCTTCCTCTTATAGCTTACTATCAAGGTACGAGGGAAGGGAAGGGAAGTCTGGTATGTATGCCAAGAGCGCCACTGCGGGAGAGTCCGTCACTTATCGCGCAACAGGGATGAATTGACCAATAAGGTCGTCAAAGATCTGCACGAACATGTAGCGAGACTCAAAGCCTCATTCCTGCAACTGACGGCTATGCAGGGCTTCATTTGCTGGTCCCGGGATTCAGTTCCAGACGGACTAGGCAATGAATAGTTTCCAACTTCGTATACCGGCTAGGCATCCGTTCATGTCGATAGAAGCTCACTATTGCAATATACTTACTAGTCATGTTCAGTGGTTTTTTGAAGCTTTGCGGGTGCTTCTAGTCATACATAACATCATCCTGCCAGTCAATGATCTCAATAATCAAGCTTTTAGCCGTTTTTTTTCTTCTTTTTTTCATTTGACCAGGTCAACGCCTGGTCATGGGGGGAGGTGTTTTCGGAGCTGCAGTCATATTTTAGTGCAGACTTCTCACCGTCTGTGTAGTTCGGTTCCCCACTATGTCAGCACGACAGAGTATACCCCGGTGACCTATTTGTATAACCTATCAGTAATAGTCTTGGAAACATGGCCCATAAATATGGCCATGTGAGCACCAATGTTGTTCAACAATACGGCTAAGGCCACTTACTATGGATGCTTGTCTGGGTCAACCGGCCCGACAGCTCCTAAAAGAGCATCTCAAATGTACTACCAGGTTTCCAAGTAAGTATCTATCTGGCTATTTATTCAGGGTGTAGGCCCAGCTCGGCCTTAGAGTATGTATCATTTCATACGCTAATGGCCCCCTATATTCAAGGGGAAATATTTTTAACATTAAAAGAATAATACATAAATGATCAGCCAAATACGGTCTCGTCAAAGACAACATGGGGCAACCTAACGTAGCGGCCGGCCACAGAGTCTTAAAGTTTAGTGCAAATAGCTGTTTCAACTTGCGGGGCCCTTTCAACTAAGGGCACGGTGAGAATCAAAGAGACAAGGGTCAGCGTCTATTTAATACGAGGCCTAAGTTCGCGATTGCTCAATGTCTGACCGCAATTCTTTTACAAGCTCTAGATCACCGCCACAATTCCCAGCTAAGCCTGTGCCGACCTTACACACTTGCTAAATTGGGCTTCATCCACAAATTCTCGACGCAGACGGTTAGGTGGCTAACTTTCTTACAACAGATGTTAGTTTGGAATCTTCCAGAATGATGTCGGTAGATCCTGTTTAGCCGTTGATGAGATCGATCTTCTACTACAACGTTTCTGCCAGTGGCAAGCTCCGCTTGATGGCGACGCCCAGGGGTACATATCCTGACGCCTGTTAGTCACCATACTCAAAGCACTAAAAGGAGACTCTGGACAACTGTTGACAATGCTGTCATATCGACTTTGGCACTAACGGCGCTACATGCCATCTGAGCACGTTAGTGGGAAGCGAAATTTGCATGGGGTCTTATGGTTCTGGATCGCATGCAACTGTGCGTTTTTTCATACACTAGTCTTCTTCCCTTTTGTAGGATACGAAAGTAGTCATACATTAGGAGCACCATAATCAAGCCTTTCTAGCCTCCTCTAGCTGTCGATTAAGTACATCATCGGGTACAAAATGAATGTAGAAAGGCATAGCTGGCCGCGCCATATGATAAAGGCTATCTCCGAAATCCTTAAACGGAAGACTTTCAAAACTTATGCGAGGTCTCTCAGGAGGGGCATAATCTGGATGATAGACAAGGGCAAATAACTGCTGCTTGCGAGGTTGCCAGTCGATTTCAAGATAGCCTCCTGAACAGCTCTCATTAGCATCAGAGTTCCTCTTAGCTGAGTCGAGCAGCTTTTCCTTGCCGAACGATTCCTCCCAAGAGGCCACCTCGGCGTCGTTATCGCTATCGTCATGAAAGCAGTTGACTGCAAGGATCCTCCGTGCAAACATCCTATCCATAATGCGCTCAGCCAGAAACTAAGAGACCGCCTCAGCCTTATCGGTAATGAGTAGGCGGCTCTGGAACTCCTGATCATGGTGGCGGATGCAAGCCTCCACGCGTTCATTGTCTGAGAAAGTTTCTTCAGGGGCAGCGTGACAACCTCAATCCGGTCCGGTTGCCAGTTTCCCAACCTGCGATAACGGAGTGTGCGGTCAAACAAAGCGCGCGTGAGCCTGGCGCTGCTGGCAGGGCGGGCGGTGTGTGTTACGTCGTAGATGACGAGGGCGAACGGGGGACGTAAAGGCTGGAGTTTATCTTCTGTTTCTGTGGCATTCTCTGGGACTTCGTATGCGGCGAAGATTGGAGCGCCGTCATGGCTGGGCGCAGGCTGGACAATAGTCTTTCGTATTCGAACTGATCGTAGGTAGTATTCCCCCTCTTCTTCCTCTTCTTCGCTGCTGCAATGCGCCTCTTCCACCTCTCCTTGGGCATTGTAGCGGGAGGGACACGCTGGACAGGGGCAAAGCTGGCACGTTGTAGGATGCGTTATTTGCAGCGGTTGAGAAATACAGATTCGAGATGTGTGGTTGTTTGGTGTGGTTGTGTTAGGGAGTTTATATAAAGAGAGGAGAGATTTTGGTGGGGTTGGTTGAGGGTAAGAGTCGCTATTCACGAGCGCTGCTGCCTGGTCAATCTCTTCGTGTAGCAATCAGCAATCGTGCCGGCAGAGGTGTTGCTTACCGCTCTCATTGATTCTTGTTCAAATCCCTTGCATTATAATCTGACTGGTTCAAGGTCCCCTTGTCGTGAAAATCGCAGCCCGTTCGGCGTCAGAAGGAGTGCATTACACTGGTGACTTTTGACAAGCGATTATGTCCCTGAAATGAAGCGGGCAGTTGATGGCTGCCTCCGACCATTGAACAGTTTCGAAGGATCTGGAAGAATCACAGTAAGATGTTTCAGGCGCCGTGGCAAAATAAATGCGAGCGAATCTATCAGTTAATGATGCCGATTTTGTAGGATAAGTATCAAGCTGGAGCCGGCATTGACGTCAGTTGACGCCAGAGACGCTCAACAACATACGGCAACGCGTTCTCCATCCAAGAGTACGAATTCCACGATTTTCGACCGTCTCGTTTAGTTATCAGAAAATGATATAACCATCAGATTCGACTTCACGAAAGGCGTTCTTCTTCAATCTTCGCGATTCGTTCAAGAAGCTGCGTCTGTGTCCAAGTTCTGCATAGTGGTGTTTTCCTTTCCCAAGATCTCCCATTCCAACTGTTTGCACACAGATAGACTCTTCCAGCAGTGTTTACTACAACCATGATCCAGTGCCGAGCGCTCTTATTAATGTGGCTCTTGACGCGTTCTTGAAAGGGGATTTGACAGCATGGATCACCTTATATTATCTGTCCTTCTGTCGAAGTCCATGTCAACAATCTCGTTGTCCTTAGTTCTGACCATCAAATTGATAAAGAGACGATTTTAGTAGTATTCAGGTCCTGCTATGGCTTAAACTCTATGAAATAGTGCTTCATCACCTCGGGCTACCATCTATGTTTTACTGTGTCACCAGAGGAATACATATAAAACCTTGTAATTCATGCTGAAGGCTTCATTTTCGTTATTCAATCTGTATCAGATTGCTTTTTGTTTATGTAGCTCTCTTGCTAGACGTGGTATCGTCCTATTGCTATGTGGAAGGCTACTCGAAGGCTCGAATGCACTCGGGCCTGGGCTGCTCTATGTAAGGAACGAAACCCTCAGCTGCTAGCGATGACGTCCCTTTGGTATAAATCTCTGTAGTCTAGTTTCATAGGCTCGCTATGATAGTAGAGTTGCAATGGATGAAGGTAAGTTTGTTTTCAAGAAAGAAGATGAACACTTGCGTGAACACTCTACCATAGTCACTAAGATATTCCAGACACAACCGAATAGAGAGAGAGAAACGGTGGAATTCCCATTACTATCTAAAAGTCTACAATTCCCCATCCATATCCTGCATCGTAGTTGTTTGGGTTTCACTACTAGTATTTAGTCTAAGGAATGTAAAGACCTGACTTTTCAGCCTGCTGTAGTTCTATAATCTCCGTGCACCAGAAAACTGAGTTTGGTTTATTTGTAATGTAGTTACATGTGTTACAAAAGCCCTTATAACCTATGTGTAGTGAGTTCCACAGATGTCTCTGTTTCTATACAATCTCAGCCTACAAGCTACACTACCACTGAACTAATTCTATGTTCAAACTGTCTAAGTCCAACGTCTGGACTCGGAAACACTCAGTTGACTCGCTAGAAGGCAACATCGCCCTGCCTTTGACTATTTTTAAAACCCTTTGCGTTTGCATTGGATTAAGGTGGATTAGAACAGACGACCACGACGACGCGGCCGCGGACAGGGATGGACTAATGATATTCAAGTGCGACTCGGTGATTCATGACTACGCATACAGATCCAAGCGAATCTATTGTATC